GGCTGCGTGTCGCGACTCGGCGCGACAGCCTGACGTACATCCGGCGCGAAGGCATGCGCCGTCGCCGGCGGCCGGCTCCCGCGCCCGTGCAACATGCGCGAGCAGGTCGCACGTCATCCAGGAGGCCATGACGCTGGAGCCGCGTGGCGGTGCAGCGAATCCAGGGCAGGCTCTGCAATAGTGGCAGCCAGCCTCGCCAGGAACTGCACGACTACGGGCCCACACCGCCGCCTCGCCTCGCCTCGCCTCGCCGCTTTAAACGGTTTTGCTTTTTATGAAATGACAAAATGATCCATAAAAACGGAAAAAATAATAAAAATCTAAGGATATCTTTGCTTTATTAATTTTACTCATTATGCTATGGTTTTTGTTACGGGACTATTTTTTTTTAAATTTCACATCTGTTTCACACACTTGGTTCTTGAAGAATATTTAGTAAATGGCTTGAATTTACACAAATATCATTATTACCTAGACTTACTGGTTACATTTCGAGTGGTTTGGTTGATTAGTGATTAAAGTAGCGTTCTGGAATTTCTAATACGAGTTGACATTTCAGTCAATATATGTGCTCACTATTGTCCAGTAGATTATATGATGGTTGGTTTGTATGTTATGCTGTAGTATTGGGGGGGGGGGGTATTGGAATAATCTCAACAACATGATCTCAATATCGGTCATAAAATCCGTGTTTAAGGTGCTTTTCAGTCGTAACTTCTCACACACGTCAGGATTAAATTATATTAGTGCTGTTTAAAAGATGGTAAAGATTAGTGCAGGCGGAGAGAAGATACATGCAATGTATCCTAAAATCGAGTTCTTTATATAGATGGATGTGTCACGCTTAACTGTTCGTTTAAAGGCCTTTGGGCCAAAACTTGGTAAATACGTAAAATCTAGTTGTGCTGATCCGACGATAATTAATATGCTATAATTTGGGGGGGTATTTTACATTTAGCTCCTATGACATTTTCAAACCATTATAGAGGTAATGAAATAAAAATGATGCAATGTATAAATTCAGAATTGGTGTTGAACCATTTACAGTGAGAGCAGGTAGTTTAGAGAGGGTATTTTCCCATATGTCGTATCAATTCCCCAAATTGTCAGCTTAAAAGGGGGAAGTCAGTAATTTCTCACATTTACGTACATAAATATATATAACGTATGACTGTGGGGCCTACTTTCAAAATATTAAGGGGGACCACAGCCTCCCTGCCTCTTCCTGTGTGCAGACCCACACACACACTTTAAAGAGTAGAGTCAGATATGTAGTTAAATAACTCCAAAACAAAGCGTTATAGCGCCTTAAAAAATAAAGTTTTGACGCCAAGGACAAAGGGCTTTAAACAGCGTTCATCACACCGTAATCTACAGAACGTGATATTCTTGAACATTTTATTAAATTTTAGCCTATTCGGTGCTTATGGATACTACCAAAACCACATATACATGTAGGAATAAAGAATATGGACATTACCCCATGACCTACACTTCAGCCCTTGGTGCAGGTGGCCATGTTTGTGATGTCACGCTTAGAGGGCTTACGTTCCTCGATCTTCTACTATTTACGCTTTCTGTGTAAACCGTGGTTAGCGCAGGCTGACGAGGTTTATTTGAATAATTATTCATTCAAGATTCCCTCTCGCAGCAAAAACCTAGAAGTACTATTAATAGTTGCTTGATACCGATGAAGATTGTTTCTTATGTGCAGTGCGATCATTCATTCAACACTTTGCTGTGGTCTACAGTTGCTGTGTACCTAATTGTGGAGGGAACTACGATGGAAACGGACCATATGTTCCAATGTTTCAGTTTCACGATACCCGTAGGAAAAATTAGGGTGGGGTTTAACATGCGAGAGTTCTTGCACGGGTATGCTAGTACCTTATATTTCAGTTATTCTAATTTATTCTACACCTTCCTTGCGCAAACAATGTCTACCTTGTCTCTCCTGACGATGTGCCACTGAATATAAACAAAATATTTTATACCCAGTTTGAAAGTTAAAAATGTGGGGGATGATAGCAGATAGAAACGAATAAAATACAATGAGAAATAGATTTTTTAAGGAAAAAGTTGGGGGTAAGAAGCAACCTGTCACTAGCGAAGAAAGTTTTGTAAGCGAGAGGCCAAGTGTGAGAAGACGGAAAAGATAATTAACCGTAGATTTTAATTTTTTTGTTAAGGATTCTGAGGAATATGACAAGACTGTTTTCAATTCATGGATTTACATAGTCAACATATCTATAACCAGGAGACAAAATGTAAATAAATTATAAATGATTAAGTTAACAAATAACAAAACTGATAAACATGGCAAAACTAACTACATAAACTAAAAAATAAAACTTGTTTTAATCGCAATCAAAAACATGAATAATCAATCTACAGTATTCTGTCTTCCAAGAGGCTAATTCTTTTTTTACCTCCTTGCACTTTCCGCTGCCCAAATGTTTCTAGTGCAATTATCTCAACGATGTGGTAATTCATAATAAAGCAAGGGAAAAGCTTCCTGCCAAAAAAACACGTACTACAAAACACCGCAATTAAGAAAGGCGTATAAATGAAATAAAAACACATAAGTTAGTTTTAATTGCGCATTATCATCTTCCTGCCTGACGAGTGTTGAAATTATCCGAAAGTTTTGTATGAAGTACTTCTTTCTACGAAAGTTACCGGTAAGTGACGAGCTCGTCTTTGGTTTTCGGCAGATGATGATGAATTAAATATTTGCTAATGTGACTTCAATGACTCCGAGGAAGGGACGTGTTTCATTTAAAGGGTAAAACGGTCATTTACACGAAAAATTAGGAATAAGAGCGGAAGGACCTGCATTGTTGAGCTGCTTGCCTAATACGCTGTAAGAGAAAGTAGATATCATGGACTTTTCACCAGAAGTCTCTTTATTTTGCGGTGTTTTCAAGTTCAATGGAAGAGGTGCGTATATTAATGTAAACTATATGAAATCATGTGTGTAATTTGTATGTAATAATTATGTAGTAATATGTGTAATGTATATGTAATAATGCCAACTATATGTACAATTTGAAGTCTATGGTTGGCGTGCTTGCTTTCCACGGCGCAACCCCAGGTTCGATTCCCGTCCGAGACAAATCATAACTGTGTGCTTTCCTCACTCATGTCCCAGAATCTAGTGCTGTGTGACTATGAGAAAGCCCACCGTAAGTTTAAAAAGACCAGTCTTTTAATTTACCTCTAAGAATTGCTATACTTTAAACATTTTTATACATAATTTTACATACTCCTAACACTTCACTCCACATCGCATCTCATCAGAAATAACACATGAACTTGCCTTTACCAATCCATGGTTTTCTACTTCGTATTTTCCAAAAATTATCTCTACCTTTGTAAGATAATTTAAAACTCGTGAATAAGTGTGTCAAAAGAAAATAGATGTGTTGTATATTACATATTTTAGAAACTCTCTTTGATACTACCTCCAATTCTCGTACATATAAACCAATATTGAGCCATTCATTTATAATGTTTGTAGAAGATTTTTATCGGTTCTTCTCAGTTGGCGTAGAACTAATAAAGATTTATTGAATTTATAATTATCATATTAAATATACCTTCCCAGAAAATGAATTCACTTAGAATAGTCAAGGCAAAATATATATTTAATTTCAATCAATTTATTTTTTTGTCGTGAGTCTCATTTAAAAATGTTGATTACTCCATTAGATAGCAAGAAATGTGCTTAAAGAAGTAAGTTTCGGTATGTATTTACGAAAACAAAAAGGCGGTTCTATTTGTAAATTGATGCTTGTAAGCTTTCTAAACATGAGGCACTTTTAAGCAAAGGGCTGAAATGTAGTATTTGAAGCAATAAATAAATAGATCAATCTGTTAGAATAGATTCACTTGAGATGTTTTTAAGAAAAGATATTTTAATTAATTCTGAAAACGCGACACATTTTATCGTATATTGAGATATCATCACAGTAATCTAAATCTCGCCTGAAGTTTAATTCATTACGCAAGTACATTGTAGTTTACATTGTTGTGGTTGCCGAACATTCGAATTTGTTAACATTTGTAGCATTCGATTGTTCAAAAGTTTCTACAAAACGTTAACATTGACCACGTTATCCCCTGTTAGAAAAAAGAGAGATAAATTGAGACCATTAAAACAAATGACCATTATATAAATGTTATTTCAAAGTTAATACTCATTTTAAGATATCTTTCATTCCCAAAGTAAACATTCTTTTCTGTAACTCTAGATATACACATGAATGTGGTCTAATATATTTCTGTGTACTCTTAAATTATAATGAATACTGTACCTCCATCAACATAATTTCTTTATTTAGAATTAAAACTCCATCTATTTTATACAACCCAAAGCTAATTTTTAAGTTAATTAATCATTATATCAGATCTACATTTAGATAAGAGAATCGTATAGACCATTACAATAATATTTTATCAGTCGATGCTAAAAGGGCGAGGACAATACGTTCCTTGAAAAACCCAATTTATTTACTTTATGGAGACTAGAGACCTAATGACTTAAGTACACAAAAAGGTAAATTTTATTCTGACTACAAAACGTTGTTACGAAAACGACAATAAAATTGTGTATTTCCGTTTTTACTAAACATTTCTTCTGTGTACTTCTATATACGCACGATAGTGTACGCACGCACCCACATTTTGGGTCAGTAGAGTTATCCTTTGATGGAGATGGCCCATACCTTCCTTTAGGGTATTAAATGTTAGTATAATAGTATTTTATGCAACGCGTTTATATATTTTTATTGCATGAGATAATATATTATAATTTTTATTGCATGAGAATGTGTGATGACGCAATCATTCGTGCAGCAAGATCTTATACGTCATCATTTGAGCAGTAAAATGCCCGATTATAAACGATTTCTTGCAACATAAAAGGTCGTTTACAAAGATGGTATAGAAAAAACTATTTTTAACGTAAATAAAAATAAGAAAATCCTTGTACCCTCCAGGGATGGACTTGAATATGAACCCGTTGATTCTCCGGCTGACGGGCCTGTGGTACGGCCCGCATAAGAAGTGGGCGCTTTGGCAAAACGTCCTGTACGGCCTTTGGACTCTGTGGATGCTTTCGATGCTCTTTGGTTTGATGGTGATGGGAGCTTCTGCTGCCTATGTGTATCGCGATGATTTGGTCGCCATAGCGTCTAACACGTGCCTCTTTGTGCAAGACATCGGAGCTTTTATCAAGGTCAGTTCATTTTATGGACTGGTTGATTGATGATTGTTGGTGATTCCGGGCGCGTACTAAGGTCTTTAGTGCCATAAGTGTAGTGCATGTTGTGCTCGCGAGGTGGCGCTGATTTTCCTCCGATCTATGGCAAGATCCGGCGCCGGCTACCGTCGGCTATCGAGGTTTTCCCTAACCAGCGGGGCAGCGCCCCAGCCGGGACAAGCTCTATGATCCTGATAGAGTAGTGCATGTAAGTGTATGCCTATACGTATGGCTAAGGTAAGGACAATGCAACAATGACAAGGAAGAGGAAGAAAAGACCCTGCGCTGTCCGTGGTCTATTTGTAAGGGTACTGCTCCGGCATTCGCCTGCTGTTGGTCGGAGAAACTACGGAAAACTGCCGATCAGAGCATCTGGCCGCTGGAATTCTTCTCCAGGTGGCGACTGAATTCGACCTATGTACCTAGGGTCGAAAATCCTGCCACCGCCGGGACTCGAACACAGGAGCTTCCGGTCAGAGACACTGATGTGCCATCAGTTGATGCCCAGAACCACACCCTTGCCGGTGTGTAAGGATTGAAAGTGAAGTCGTAGGCTTTCGCGACCAGAGTCATGTGCGTGATCTGGGCTGTCCGGGTGACGCCGCGTCTTGTCGTGGTATGCGTACTGCATACCAGCCCTGAGGAATGCCACGAGAAGATGGTCGAAACGTCAGCAACACAGCCTTCGACGCGGCGCCACCCGGACAGCCCAGATCACGCACAAGGATTGAAAGTGTTCTATTTGATTGGATGGATCGACGTAACCAAAGGGCTCCGCGTGTCCGTGTTTTCCCGTGACGCGAGGTGGGGTTGCGTTTGGAGGCGCTGTTAGTGTGAACAGCGGTGCGCCTACTTTACCACGGGGAATTCACCCCGGGTGGGCGCCTGGGCGCTAGCCTCTATTCGCAGCCCCCGCAGGCGTACAAGCACCCTTGGGCTAGTATCTGGATCCAGCCAGAAGCTAGTTTTCCCTCTCGGTAACCTTCCCATACAATGCCTGGGTTGGGCCGTCGTGTCAGCTCAGAGATCTTAGCTATGTAGGCTAGTACCGGAGAGTAGGCAATGCGTCACTGAAATGCGACGGCACAAGTCCCTCCTCTTTGCCCAGAGTATTGGGCCACTGCCACGACGAAGCCAAGTGCCCAACTGGGGGCCCCTGGCTCAAGACCCAGGAGGCTTGGGCCACCCAACCCGTCTCCTCACTGCCTCCCCTTCGAGGCTATCCGCGTGAGTTGGCTGGATCATGTGCCACCCCGACAGAGAGCATCGTGAACTTCTAAATGCAGGTTTGAAATACGCCGCCAAACTGCACAGGGGATGCCTGCTAACGTATCGCACGCCCAATCCCGCCCGAGGGTCGTCAACAAGCCGACTCCTCACTAATAACCGACCTCAGATTTTCGACGTGAGTTCCGCCGTGAAGCTCAGGGTCGGGATGGCCGCTTACACCCCTCCCACCAGAAACAGAAACTACCTACGTCACCTGCGCAGGCGCTGGTGTTCGTGTCGCGTCGCGGCGCCCTGCTGCGCGTGCTGCGCCGCCTCGACGCCCTCGCCTTCGACCCCGTGGTGGTGCGCGGCGGCGCCGCCAACCGCGCCACCATCGCCCGAGCCGCGCGCAAGGCCACGATGGTGACGACCGTCTTCCTGACCATGGGCTTCGTCACATACGTCGCCTGGATTGGTGAACGCGCCGCGCTGCTCGGCACGTGCGGAGGATCGAGGGGCATTGTTTTGTTTTAAAATAAATCGTAAGTAAGAAGTAAGTAGCGAGAGTAGTGAGGAATTTAGTGAGGAGTAGTGAGGGAGTAGTGAGAGTGAGTGAGAGTATGTGAAGGAGTAGGTGAGGAGTAGTGAGGAAGTGAGAAGTAGAGAGGAGTAGAGAGGAGTAGAGAGGAGTAGAGAGGAGTTAGAGAGGAGTAGAGAGGAGTAGAGAGGATGATAAGAGGAGTTAGAGAGGAGTAGAGCAGGAGGAGTAGATGGAGAAGAGGGGAGTAGAGGGGAGTGAGAGGGGAGTTACATAAGGTCGCTGTACTGCAATCCTTAGAGATCCCCCTAAGAGTATATTCAAAGCAGTTGGATGCCAGCCTCTTTTCGATCCCGGCTTCCTTGGAGGTCTATCTTGGACGCGGGTCTGGGGACCTTTCGAGTAAGCACGCCTCGCGGTCAAGTTAATAAATTGATACAACTTATTACACACATATGTATTGAATTAAACAAAAAACATTATTCAATTTCTGTCTCTGGTTACGCAAGAAATATAGACTTTCTTACATCAGTTTTACACCAGTACTTTGTATTAATTGACTAAAACTATTGCATTTTGATGTGAAATAAAGATGTACATATCTTTACAGCATAGTAGTGTTTTAAACTACATAATACCAAGATTTTTAATATTAAAAATATTTCCAAAATTATTTTTGAATGTTCAGTATTCTAGGGAACTGTCCTGTTTTTATCCAGTAGAGACGCTATAATGCAAAACGTAACCAATACATGTGATAAATAAATATTATCATATTTTGATGACAAATCACATCGAAAATGATTCTTACGTTTCATAAAAAATAAAAGCTTAAAAAAATAAAAACGATCATCGGTTTGGTCCCTTGGTAATGCCAGGGTCAATGTTGTGTATATGCGCAGGACTCAGTTGCTGGGCAGCATTAAGAAGTGAATCACCAACATTCTTGCCAGTTCAAATAACGACGGTGGGCGTGAAGAGCTCAAATCGCACCCTACTTCTTCCGAAGCTGCATGACGAAGGAGAAGTGGATTTTAATTCAGGAGAAAGGCCTCTCCAACAGGAGGCTGCCGCCGGTGGCCAAAATGACCGGCGGGCCCCTTCACCCTCGCAGTGCCCTCCACCCACACTTCCGGCGGAGGGGTGGTTCTTCTTCGACTTCTTCCAGAACCCTGGATACGCTGTCGCCTATGTCATTCAGGTGCGTTGGATTTTGGTCCGCGATTGGTTGGCTCCGGGCGCGTCAACTGCCAAGGTCTTGTGAGTGTAGTGCATGCTTTTTTAACACGGGTGGTGGCGGTGATCTTCCCACGCTGAACGGTGGGATACGGTGCTAACCTAACCCGCCGGGGTTTCCTCAACCAGGTATCACCCCCCAGCGAGGAACCGCCCCTCCGGGGACAAGCTCTAAGCTCCCGGCGTATGTGGTAGTGTAGAGCATGGTGTAATGGGTGGGTATAGGACAAAGATAGGGAACTGCTCCGGCATTCGCCTAGTGTTGATTGGAGAAACCTTAAAAACTACTGATCAGAGAAGCCGTCTGAAATTCTCCCCTATATTGGAGCTGAACTCGACATAGCTGTCAAGTTAGTGTCGAAAAACCTGCCGTCGCCGGGATTCGAACTCAAGGACTTCCCTGTCAGAAGCACTGCAGTGTGACAAACAACACCCTCAGCCACCTATGCCGGTTTAGTCCGAGAGATAGCGTCATGAATCATCGCCCTCCACGCGAATATCTCTGTGGAGGCGTCAAACCCCTTTTACTTTAACATGGCGCAATGAAGTGATAGATATTATTGCTCGACAACTTACAAAAAAAAAAAAAAAAATCATAGCGTCGCTTACCTCAGGAGGCGTGGCGAAGCCATTCCCCTCTACTCCCGAAGGGGAGCTCAGTTGAACTCAAGGACCGCCTGCAACGATAAATGATTCGCTCTTGCAAGTTCGTTCTTCCGCTTCATTCTCACTCTCGAACAGAGATACGGTCCTTTAACACTACACTTGGGTTTTTATTTCTCTGCACGCGAGACCTTGCCTTCACGATGGAATATCTCACGGTATGTCGCGTCTTTCTAGGCCATGCCGCTAGATGTCGCATGATCACTAGCACTCCCCCATCTCCGCAGGGGGGATCGTGTCTGCGTGGGTAGGCTCAGTCTCTGGTGGAGAGTTGTTGACGACCACCAGGACCTTTGGTTTCACGGTGTAACTCACACCGTTAGCTTCAAGGTGGAGGCAGTGAGTAGGCAATGATAAAGCCAATCCTTGTTGCCGCTTCAACCCGGTAACACACCAGCGTGTCGACCTTTGGGCAGATTTGGATGGAGGTTCGTAGGAACGCTCTGGAATCCACATAAACAAATCCGGCGGGAAATTACCGACCATCTGGTTGCCTAGGTTCTGGCGGTACTCACGTCGATAGCCCCAAGGAGTAGGCAGTGAGGAGCCGGAAAGGGGGTACCCGAGCCGCCCGGACCTTAGTTCGGGTGTCCCCCAGTTGGGCTCTCGGATTCTTTGTGGCAGTGGCCCAATACTCTAGGCAAAGAGGAGGGACTTGGTGTCCCAACGCATGTTCGTGGCGCGTCATCACACGATGATATTGACTCCGGTACTGGCCTGGAAAGCTTGTAGCTCTGAGCTACCGGGCGGCCCAACGCAGGCATTGAATTGGAAGGTTGTCGAGAGGGCAAACTGGGTTCCGGTTGGACCCTGATATCGGTCCGTTGTCGTACATGTGCGGTGCCGGGGGATGAGGATAGAAGCAAAAAGCTCAGGAGCCCATCCCGGGGACTTGTGCCCCCGGTAGAACATCAATTGCTGTGGAGTTGTTTCCACACTAGGAATTCACAGCACTGCTCGATACGTTCGCAATTATGCTACATCTAGCGGCGTGACTGAGAAAGACGCGAAACACCGTGAGATATTCCATCGCGAAGACAAGGCCTCGCGCGCCAAGAAATAAAACTCCAAGTGTACAGGGTACCGAACTGTCATCAAGGTCAGTCTGTCTTGCCCCCCCCCCGCAAGGTCCAAGGCGTCGCCGACTCTTCAAGCGGGAAAGTTAGGCCGTGAAGAGAGGGAACCCACTTCTCGCGCATGCGCAGTCCAGTTTTTTTTTTTTTTAAGTTGTCGAGCTATAGCTAGAACGTCGGTTATAGAAGACTAACAACTACGATAGAAACGTATTCCGTACGTAATTATTCAAGCTATCCGCAGCGACAGGCGTGAATATGCTAGAACTATCACACGCCCCGAAATATTCTTCGAGGAGTGAACTGTCTCGGTTGCTCAATAATGGTAGTATACAATGAGATCCGTGAGTCCGTCCGGGGTTCAATTCCCGGCCGTAGAATATGATGCCTTAACTTTCTAATACAAATCGTCTCAGTTTTTATAGCCGTGAGACGAAAGAAAGCTCAGGCAGGACAAATAAGCTAGGTACGGTGACGGCAATGCGTCATGCTCGCCATATGTCTCAGCTACTTCCAGACGTGAATAATAAATAAAAACAAAACCCAACCGTGGGAACACGTCTAGCTTACAAATAGCGTATTAATTTAACCCTAAAATACCAAATACGGTCATGTTTATTCAAATGATGTATTATAAAATGAGATTGATAAATGACTTCCAAAGGTTTACTTTCAATTTTGTTTGTAGAGTTTAAATTTATATTTCCTTTTAGCTTTAATGTTTTCTTAATGTAGTGTTTAATTTAAAATTGTTTCATTCATTACGTGTTTACGCTTCAAAGACAAAACAGTAACATAATGTCATCAATTATTATATTTCAGATCTTCTGCGTCTTCTACATGTACATCATAACATCAGTGATTGACACATTGTTCGTGTCTATGATGATCTACATTTCGGCCCTCCTTCGCGTGTTGGCCACAGATCTTTCAACGCTTAGGCAGAAATCCCGGAAAGATTTCGACACGCGGAACACGAAGCAACGGGAGTTCAGATCCGTGCGCTCCGGCGCCGCCGCAGACGAAGAGAAAATGGAGTTGGCGCTCGTCGGCGCAATCGAATTTCACCAGAGAATTGTTCAGTGAGTACGGAGTTTCGGAAACGAAGAGGGAAGTTAGTTGATATGTTCTACTTCAAGCATATCCAAGCTCATGAGCAGGAAATAAAGATTTATTATTATTATTATTATTATTATTATTATTATTATTATTATTATTATTATTATTATCACCATCATCATCATCATCATCATCATCATCATCATCATGATTGGCGTACAGTTCATTTCTGACAACGCTATACGATTAACGTGTGTAATTTTTCAAGGATCAACTTTTCAGCTGTATTACTCAGGACGTCAAGATTGTTACGACTTGAAGCGTAAATTATGATATGGTAGGATACCGTCTGCGCCACGGGGCGGATTATTATTATTATTATTATTATTATTATTATTAATTATTTTATTCCGTATAAAGATAAAATTCATTTAACAGCTAAACAAAGGTTTCCATATACAAATGTTTAAATTTGTTTAATCGCAAATTACCTTAATATTTGGATATTGTAATTAAACATAGAAATAATTTCAAAACATTACTAATCATGATTAATTTTGCAGTGCTGTTGATGAAATGCAAGCTGTGACATCAGGTCCAGTACTTGTCCAGTTTGTAATATCGACGTCAGTCATGTGTTTGGCACTTTTTGCAACTACAGCCGTAAGTATGGCTACGCGACTCTAGTGACATTACATCCACCGTTGTCTGTGTTGAAATTAAACGGAATGTTGCAAAATAAATTCACTGTGTACGCTATTAAAATTGCATCACTGATATCCCAAATTAAAGGCATTTAATAAAAAGCTTAACATATTTTGCATGACTATTTCATTCGTTTAGTCATCTTAAAAGAATCAATGAACAATTATTATCTTTATATTTATCATTTGTCAATTAGAAGCACTTTTTAAAATACATTTATGCATAATTTTAACAAAGTTTACACAAAATAATGTTAAACAATATTTTTGTGTAATTGCTACTTTAATAACAAACTTTGGTACTCCCATGGTGGGATTGGCAGTTTAAACTTCACGTCATGGCTTACAAATCGCTCTGAGCGGTGTGTAGATAGTCGTTGCAGTACATTCGATACATGTAATTTTGATATTTCTCTTTTGATATAAAGCGGTATCGACAAAACTCCAGTATTGGTACCGAAAGCAAGTTATTGGCATACGATATTCCAGACTCGTTTAATACATTTCTAGAGCGTTCTTTCCCCCATTCTGATTTGGCATACAATAACTGCAATTTACAAAACTACCCAACTGGAAAAGAATCTTGAAACATTCCCTGACACTTATATCTTACATATTAAATCATAACGTATCCGGGCCCCTAAACTAGGAGACGAGAATGGATGGGAATGTGGAACTATTACTTTCGACATACAAATGTAACCCTTGCCAGTTACTTAACAAAAGATAATAAGTTTCACTTCAAGAAGGAATAAGAAAATTTCTAGGAAAGATTCGAGCTATTAGGAAAACGGTAATTCAGTCGTAACTGAGAAGGAGCACTGGTGTCAATACCACTGACGTCGAGGTAAGCAGTCGAGGTAAGAACCTCGACTGTTTTCATAATAAATAAATAAATAAATGACCATATTGTGGTAAGTGCGTAAGGGGTGAAACAGAATTTCGAGAAGTATGCAAGCAGCAAGATGTTGCGGACGATTTTTCTATAGCGCTGTTTCACTTTAAGGGCTGAGGAAGTCGAAGTCTTTAAGGAGAATTCGTGACATTCATACCTGGAAATAAATAATTTAGGAAGAGTTTCGTAGATAAGTTTGTTCTCATCTGATGGCAGTATTCCCCTCCTTCAGGATATTTTCTTAGCCGAATCACAGGGTCTCTTTTCCACCGTTTTGACGGGATGGCGAGACCATTCGAGAGCAGTTTTAGAATTCAAAGTGTTGTAACTTCATAGAACGTAGTTTTGGTAATATCTTAAAAGCTTTTGACGTAGCCACATAGTATCAGGTAATGTAATTTGAATTCGTAATAGCCTTCTAAGTAAAAAAATACATAAATAATACAACTACGTGTTACGAGCACGTTCACATATTATTTACATATCCTTACACAGCTATAATAAATATTTATAAATTATTTGTAGCAACAAATTAATTTGTTCGCCAAACAAGGAGACCAGATAAATGCTCCATGTTGTTCTTTATACAAAATCCTTTTTTGGTGACAAGGAAGGTGACATTAAATCTGCCATGGAAAGTTACTACTTTGTCAAAGCCCCAGGACAGAATTAGTATCGTTGTGCCATTTAAGAATTTTGTCATTTCAGAGCGGGGGAAATCATGCGTCTACCATAAAATTTGCAGCCTATCTCGCTACATTATTCTCTCAATTATTGCTATACTGCTGGTTTGGTGATGAAGTTACACAAATGGTATGTATTAATAGTAGTTTACGCAATTAGTTTATAATGTTAAGCTTTATTGCCTGAGTACATGTTTTGAAAACGAGCGACGTTAGAAGCGAAGAATGAAGAGAGCACTTGAAAGATGGAAATTGTTAATCGCGCCGTAATTGGCAAATAAACTGTTCCGTCCCAACCCACAGTCAAGAACCAAAAAAAATATATTGAATTCCTTGTTTAGGTTTACCTTGAGATGCACCATTAAACAATTTTTTTCAATATTGAAACACAAATATTATATATAAACTTTATTTATATAAATTAATTGTAACTAGTGCACTAGTTCATATGCAAAATTGCTTATATGTTTAATTGATTGTATTTTTTCTATTATTTGTGTTTATTATGTTGTGTTCAGCTCGCCGCAATTATTGCCAGCACTATTTGATGTTGGTATGATGCAGATAAGTATTAAGTATATTAAGATTAGTAATTAAATAATTGCTGAAAGATGTATTTGTATCATTTGACCAACCAACTACCTACACTACGACGCCCAGCACAATTCTGGCTATGTTGTGCAGCCGCATTCTCGGTCCCACAGCAGGGTTCAGCTTATTTATGAAAATAACCCCACAGTTAGCGAAGATGACACTGATAGCATTTTGAAGGAAACTAAATCGCGTGAAATCAATAACGTCTTTTCATCCTAATGTGAACTGTTTGTTTTTTTTGCAGAATGAAGAAGTGGTCCTCGCCGCTTACGGCAGTAGCTGGTTTGATGGTTCCCAAGAGTTTAAGAAACGAGTTCTGTTTATAATTCTCCGAGCCCAACGAACTTTAGCATTTCGGGGCGGTGCTTTCTACGAGCTTTCAAGAAACACTTTTTTATACGTGCGTACTTTGTATTAGGAGGGCTGTTCGATACTTAAGATAAATATGTTCATTACGTCCATAATGCAAACATTAAAGGTTATCAGAATGTTAAGGATAAGGAAATTTGGTCATTTAAGGCTAAAGCCAGGCTCAAATATGTCGACATTTCGAAATATGTAATTTCATCATCAGAGTTAAGCAAAATACTCCATCTATTGCAGCACTCTACAGTGCCATGCTAGTTGTTAATATTCCTGCAGCAAATTGGTCATAGTAATTGTTGAGATTCCCATCAGTATGACCGATACACTAAACTTCTGAGAATGTGATATATTATAATCATAATTTTACTTTCTTTCAAGCTTGAACAAAATGCATGACTATCTGTAGTATATTTAAAAGGCTATGTGTTTTCGTTTAGAAAGAAATTTCAGCCTTCTACTCAACCAAATTTCGAGAGCTTTGCTTTAATTGAAAAGTAGTGGCCCTTAAACACACCCTCCGTAGGCGAGGTCGGTTCGGCGGCCGAAGGCAGCACTGCATTGTGCACACCTGTTGGCGGAGGTGTGGCACTACGGTACACGGAGAGTGGCATAGTATGTATACTTTTGGGATCATAATGGGTTCATGTGGTCATCTTTAATTAAATTGTGCAATATTTACTTACACTAGATTTCACTGATTTAAAATGCATTTCAAAACAAATTATAAGCCTTCATATAAACAAATTATTATTATTAATATTATTATTATTGCTCATAATCAGGGCTCTGATTATGATGACATGTCAGTTTTTGATCGGTGTATTCTAGACGTAGCTAACATGTAAATCAATGTTTATCACGACGTATAGGTGATAGAATTGTATAATTATTGGGTATTTTTTTTGTATTTTTGCCATGTTTCAGTTGTTAGGTCATTTTTCATTTCTTCCGCATTTTTGTCATTTTTATTCATTTTGTTTCCTTCCATATTTTTTGTTAGTGAATGATTCATGAATTTACAATTACTCACTAAAACAATTTTTATTGTATCACAGTTCATGACGAAATTCACTGCTGTTTTTTCTGTTTCTGTTCGGACTCTGTTTTTTCGAACTCTGAAAATTATAAATAATAATATAATATTAAAAATAATAATATTATTATTATTATTATCATCATAATAATAAAACACTGACTAACAAAAAACACTAAATTAATAAATTGATTATGTTAAGGCTTATAATTTGTGTTGATATGCCTTTTAAATCAGTGAAAACTAGCGTAAGTAAATATTGTGCATTTTAGGTAAAGATTACCATAAGAACCCGCAGTGATCTCAAATTCATACTTACATGGTCAGTTCAAAAACATATATGAATTGCTTTAGATTTTTTCAATTTTTTTGAAGTGTTGCATTTTGAAAAAACTTAAAATCAAAACTTAAAATTCAAATTCGAAAAACGTTTGAAACCTAACCCCTGTTCAATTTTATATCATACAAAAGGCCATAAAGAAAACTAATATGACACCTTTTCCAGCTCTCTGTCTTAATTTGGAGATGATCTACATCAATTTACAACTTTTCGGGAAATCCAATTTTGTAATACTTTGCTGTATTTTACAAACAAGTTTAAATATTTTTCTCAAAATTTGTAATTTTCTAATTTTTTATTCATACTATATAGATTTCAAATTTCATCTGAATTTGAGATAGTGAGGTAAAATTTTATTAAAAACCGTGTTGGTTTGGAACGGCACGTGTCCATTGTTATACCAAGGTATTTGAAGAAGCGTTCTCATGTTATAATCATATTGTGCGTGACCATTGTTATACAAATGTTTTCGTACATTTGGTGACATTGTTTATTTGGAGACTTGGAACGTTGTTTAGTATTCCAGTATTCCGAAAAAAAATGTTGCTTGACATTTGCTTATATTTAATTTCAGTGCGTTTCTTGAACACCAGTTCCCATAGTGATACAGCATTCTGAAGTATTTTCATCTGAATCTCCATTATGGACACTTGAGCAGTAATAGCTACGTCGTAAGCGAAAAAAAACTGCTTTGTGTTTGAAGTAAGTCTTTGATGAAGATGTGATGATGATGGTGTGTTTTTGTTGCAATTATTATGCTCTTTGCATTGGTACTCCTGCCCACTCTGCTGCTGGCCCTGCCTTAAACAGGGAAAGAGCTGTGCCCCTTTGACTGCCTCTCCACTGACATAGGAAGCGGGGAAGCGTGGCGACTTAGCGCTCCCCTGTTGGTGCGAGGATACCGCAAGTTCGAAGGTTGAGTGCTTTGAAATCCAAAGATTAGACACTGTAAAAATTCGACATTTCGTTATTTATAACCGTTGACGTTTGCCGTTACGATTAGTCCAAAATCTCTCAAATGTCCAGAAAAGGCCTGAAACATGATCATGGTGTCATTTTATCAAAAATTTCCTGTTATTAAAATATATTTATGATTGCATTATGTTTTTGAATTGCGGTGAATAGCAGGATTTCCTACAGGGGTCTAGTACAAACATACATGTACATATATTGGTAAATATTAAACCTTTCAACTACATTTTCAGAATCATGTTAAAATGTTTTCAAGTGAACAACTATTGTTTTGTTCCTGAATTTGTTACTCTCCCTCGATTAATTAGTTTTGGAGTATGATTTTTGCGGTTTTCTATTATCTGTAGCATGCATGTATAGTACTTTTCTGTAACTTTTCCAATCTTCCTTTTGTTCGTTATGATCGTCCGGATGCATCCAGTCTTAAATTACATATGTAATGAAACATAATGATAACATAGGCACACAAAATAAAAAATATGTTGGACAAAAAAGACTTGACTCAAGTTTCTCTACGTATGTCGACGCGCTGAATCCAAATCAGAACCCAGAATTGCGCCACCACCCTCAATTTTTAAATAACTAAAATCGCATACGAATACTAAATGTTGGTGTCTTCGAGCATTGTACTTTTTAGAAGCCAAAAAGTGTAAGACCCAAGACTTGACACACGTTTCTCTATGCACAAGTATGGCGCCGCGCTGAATCTGAATCAGAAGCCAGAATTGCGCGCCACCCCAATCCGGTACTTTTAATCGTGAAAATGCAAATTGTAAATTTCACGTGTTTCTCGCGATTTAAAAAAAACTTGAGGGTTATGGCGCAATTCCGACACACATTCGCATTTAGCGCGTTGGCATCCATAGAGAAACTTTGTGTAAAGTCTTTGGGTCTGACAACAAACCCCGAAAACTACAAATATAATTGCATGGAGGGATTTGTGATTTTAAAAAAACAACTCGGCCGGTGGCCCAATTCGGACTTCAGTTTCGCATTCAGCGCGTCGACATATAGAGAAAAATGAGTCAAGTCTTTGATCTGACTTCTTTTTTTGTTGTGCCTCTCTTCTGTATCTCCTTTCTGTCTCTCTCTCTTTCTGTCCTCTTCTCTTTCTGTCTCGTCTCTCTTTCTGTCTCCTCTCTCTTTCTGTCTCTCTCCCTCTTTCTGTCCTCTCTCTCTTTCTGTCTCTCTCTCTTTCTGTCTCTCTTTGCTCGCTACTGGGTTCTCTATCTTCTCGTTCTGGTCTACTCTCACATCCGGAATGAAGCAGACTCAGTCTACCCCAGGTTATCTCTCCCTCTTCTTCTTTGTCTTCTCTCTTTCTTCTGTCTCTTCTCTCTCTTTCTGTCTCTCTCTTTTGTCTCGCTCTCTTTCTGTATCCTCTCTTTCTGTCTCTCTCTTTCTTGTCCTCTCTCTCTTTACTGGTCTCTCTCTTTTCCTTTTTCTGTCTGCCTTTCTCTTTCTGGTCTCTCTCTCTCTTTCTGTCTCTCTCTGCTCTTTCTGTCTCTTCTCTCTTTCTCAGCCGGTCAGAAACGTTCTTTTTTTTTTTTTTTTTTTCAATATTTTGTCTTATGCTCTCTCTCTCTTTCTGTCTACTCTCTCTCTTGTCTGTTCTCTCTCTCTCTCTGTATCTCTCTCTCTTTCTGTCTCTCTCTCTTTTTGTCCTCTCGTCTGTTCCTGTCTGTTCTCGCTGTCTAGTCACTCTCTCTCTCTTTCTGTCTCTATCTTTGGTCTCTCTCTCCTCTGTCTCACTCTGTCTGTCATCTCTTGAATAAGCATTACTAGGGCTGTGGAAAAATAAACAAAATTAGTAGCATTCTAGAAATATTTTTCATAACTTATACGAGTAGTGAATTAAAAAATGTTCCAAGTAACTTACAATATTTTTATCTTGGTCGTCGGATTGCCCCTAAGCATTATTCAACTGTAAATATATGGATATATGTATAATTTGTAGAATAAATTGGCTTCTAAGCCTGACACATTTTTGATTGTTCCAGATTGTAAATGCATCCTATTCTTTTTTCAATCTTCTCATGCAAGTGCAAGATTAAGAAATGCCACAGTTTTGGGAAGTTTAGTTTCACGACAAATATTCTATAAACTGCTGAAAACAACCTAAAAAGATGTGAATAACGAATGCACCCTGCAAGTTAAACGTTAGTAACGTGAATAAATTATATGGTAACAACCCAAACATGATGCAAAGAAGCAAAACTGAAACACCATGCCTCTATGTAAAGTGATAAAAGATTGAAAGAAAATTCTTTTACGTTTCTGAACATGCATTAATGATTTAGCACACATGAAAATATTTCATAACACTCGCAGCGCTTTTAATTAACGTCATGTCGACAGTAATTCATTCGCATTTCTCAAACTCTGAATTACATTAAGCATCTGTGATTCAAATAAAAACTATACTGTTTTCACTAACGGAAATATTCGAGAAATATTCATCGTATTCCGTGATACACTTTTATCAAATCTTCGCATCACATTGGTCTTTCTCCGTGTTCCTCCGATAGTGCACCGTTGCTTCAGTCTATCACTAGTATTTAAATTCAGTGCAACTGAATATCCCAATTAGAGTGACGTTGTACTGTACAGTAGGTATGGTTCAAATCTTCTTGGCAGATGAGGTATTCAAAATTACTTTTTAAAACCTCTATTTTATAACTATTGTATTATTTCACAATACCTACTTGACAAATAAACACGATTAAATTTTCATGTATTGCATGTTTCTTCTCTGTGCAACTTCGCTTAAAACAACCGATCTTCTATCCCATTCCCTCCTCACCTGCTTCCCTTCATATTAGTTTTAATAATATAATATCAATAATTTTTGTATTGTTTGAATTTAATGATTACACAAGGTTGTTATGCAAGGTATCTAAAAGTCACCAGTAAGGCAAAGGCATTAAACTAAAGACAAAATTAACTAATCTACAACTAGATATAAAATGATAACGAATGGCCTAGGACACAGTGACCACATGCACAAATCCTTTTTAAGGTACCAGTAATTTGAACACTGAGACGTAATACACGTGTGTAGATTATTTACTGGAAAAAGATAATTTCAGACTACTCAGTTTTCCGTACCTGGAAAGTATGGTAATGTCTCCCACAACCATGTGGGAACCGCAGGAGTGGGGTGGACCCCCCCCCAGTACTTGGGGTAGCGGTACCAGGCCTGAAAAGGCCTCCAAATTCGCAGATCAGCACGGAGGTGTCGACCCCCTGTAGCTGCAGCAACCGGCAACCCACCGCACGTTTGTGTACGGCAGGAAGCTGACTCAGGTTGCACATAGGCGCCGACCGATGCCCCTGCATCCTCCACTGGCGGCAACCCGCAGACAGTCCTTGTCAGGTGGGTTGCAATGGCCGCACCCCGGTAGCAGCCAACACCGCGCAGACCTGGGGACCCGTCGCCCCACTGCATGGCTTCCGTCTCAATGGACGAACCAATTGGTCCCAGGGGACGAAGATCTGGTGATCTTTGCGACCGGCGCGCGGCGCGGAGTGGAGAGTACGCAAGCATTTTGGAGTTACGAACTCTAATTCTTGTGTAGTCCACAAGTAATTTTACCTTGCAAAAGGTGAGCTAGAAGATTTTATTTTTATTTTGTTTGTATTGTTATCAGTTAGAAAACTTTAAAAAATTTCGGACATTTTTAGGTTTTTGCATAATAACATTTTAATAGTTGATCTTCGTGCAAAAGTAGTTATGTACAATTTCAATGTCATAAAATTTTCTACAAATTTGCTTGATAAATTATTTCCTTCAAGCAAATAGTGACAGAGCCACGAGATTTTAAAATCTCACTAAATTTTCCTTTTATTCTGAAGTTGCCCAAAACTACTAATGGTCTCTTTAATGTAGTATTTTTGAATTCTGAAGGTCATTATAATTAAAAAGTGATTAAATACTATTATTTCAATGCTTACTGAGGGTAAACTCGCGTTTACAAGTTCTGGAAAGACGGCAGTCTGCATATACATTCGGGAAACTAACACGATTTACTTACATCAAAAGGATTTCAATAGGATAAAATGAAGTTCGTTTTTTCTTCTTTTTATAATTAAAATAATAATGCAATATTAATAATAAAAATAAATATAATAATAAAATCATAATTATTAATATATTATTATGCAATTATGTTGTTATTATTAGTGTATCATAGCGTGGCCAGAAATGACCACGCTACACGTTCTTTTCCGAGTCCATGCACACTGCCACTGAACGCACGGGCGCGCGTATATGGGCAGGCAGGCAACTCCAATCGTGTGACACAGACAGTCTTTTACACAGAAAGTGGTCAGAGTTTAGGCTCTTGGGCGGCGAATTGGTTTAGTTCGTGATTATTTGGATCTATAGACCCATTTTTGAATGTTATTTGCGTTAAATGGGCGCGCTTGCAAAACAAACAATACGATCGTAATGAATGTTATGAACGGTATACCAAACAAACCGAATTTTAAAATAATTATATCATTTCTCATTTATTGGCTTGATTGAATTTTAGATTTGTCTCCAAGCCAACGATTTCTAAAGCAATTTCAATATTTCTTTAAGTAAGCCCATAAAATTTAATGAAAAACGTGAAAAAAATATCGGAAAAATAAGCGTAGTTTTGAGCATTTAAAATTCAAAACACTCTACTAAAATGCCACCCCCTTCATAAAGATAGACCCGGACGCGGAATCTAAAGATGACCACGTAAGTAAGACACACCTCGTCATTAGTTTTGACAAAAACAAAACTGCAAATATAAATTAATTCGAATGGTTTTAATGAACAATTGCCTTCAAATTTCCCGCCGATTTTAATTTTCTGTATGTGGTAACATTGTGCTTTCACAACTCATGATTACCTATTAGTTTTCTGACTCGCTCTGACCACAAAAGCACATGTCAGAGTACAGCTTTATTTCTTTTGAGAATTTTATTGTCTGAGTGTGATGGGTATTTATTTCGATTCTTTCGTGACGTATGTGTTAATGAATTACTCATTCCTCTGATGTAATTTGATAGTGCTTTGGAAGATTTTTACTTCGTCGCTGATGTGTTGGTGACTTGGCGGTTTCTGTTAGTTTGTCATTTCCTTCGGAACAATACAGTTATGGCTATCATCGAGGGAAGAGAAAGTAGTAATTTGGTTAGTAATCAAAGTGATTTTTATTGAATAGTGTAATGCCACTCATTACCCGGTGTACAATTCCTCTTAACCTCCTCCATTTTGACTCGTGTTATTTTCTATTTAGGTATCACTGTTGTGCACTATTCGAAGGATATTAGTATCAGCGTTGTCAGATGTAGATAAAGAGAGATTAATTGAAAACACTTTTATGAATTACTCACAATTAAACATTCAAGAGTGTGTGGAGCTTGTAGCTCTTGCTTTCAGGTAAAGTTCAGATTTCATTTTTAATTCCAATTCCCGTTTGTTTAAGAAAATCTGTCAGTCTAATTTTCATTTATCATTATTCATTTTACTGATTTCTGAATAGTGAATATCTGAGTAAAAGCATTTTTCATTTGATTTACAGTATGATTTTGTCAGATAATATGGAAGGCAAAAATTCTGCTGGTTGGTGCATCCTTAGAAGTCTTGAACATTCTCAACAGTCCATTCTGGCAGATGTAATAGATGTCTCAGTTGTTGAAAGTTTATTTACAGACTATTTTAATTCTCCCAATGTTGGTGAAGTTCCATCGCTTGTCAGTTGGTGTTTGAAAAATGGAGTAACTCCTGGTAAGAAGTTACATTAATTACGCATGTCATGTTGTTCAGTATATATTATTATGAATGTTGATTGTTTGCAAAACCACTTTGTTTTTCATAATTGGAAATATTAAGACAATGTGATTTTTTCAGCAAATTATTAATCAATTTTACTGCTTTTTTCCTTGTGTAGTTCTGGAACCAATTGTGAGAGAGCATGTGGTAGAATTTTCGCGGCATGCTCATTGCAGAAATTCTCTTGCTGGGTCTGATTTATTGAGTTCCATGGCAGTTATGCTAGAGAACCACTTGGCCTGCATTCCTAGTGGGCCTGTGCAGTTAACTGAACTGTGTCAAGCAATGATCAGAAAATTAGCCACTCTTGAAATGCCTAGGGATAGTGCTGGTGTAGCTCTCTTTATAAGTAATATACGAAACGTTGAAAAATTGCTCAAAGTCATTGCTGATCACACTTCAGATCGTCGGCAGCTCTCTGCTATGTACCTTAGAATCCTGTATGCTACTGTGTCAGATTCTGGTAAGAAACGTTGATCCAGTATTTCTGTATTATGAGTCTTAACAAATTTTTAATTAATTGTTGCAGCATTGTCTATCATTTACTTACAGTCAGCCATACACTGTATTCAAAATTAAGTTTAATGGTAGATATTGTAGCACTGATTATCTCAAATATGTTCTATTTTCCATATAATGTTTTATATTTCTGGATGTGCGTTATGACGTACCTGAATTAATGCGGTATTGTTTTGGTATTTTTCAGTTAAATATCCTGACCCAAGTCCTGCTCTTGCAACAATATTACAAGTTGTTGATGTGGACATAATCAATGGTTCTGTACAAAGTATTCTGTCAGATCAGTCAGATAATGAAAGTATTATTCGCCTTATGACAATGCTTTGTGGTTGGCTAGTCAAGTGGCCTCGAGCAAATCATGTGAATCGTTGGGTGAGTTTAGCCAATTCAGTTATTTTTTGAAATTTCTTATAAATCTTCAATTTTGTATTTCTGAATGGATGATTTTTTTGTTACTTTCTCATATATTTTCTATAGAGAAAGCTATTTAATGCAAAAAAATGTGTGTCAAGATTTTTGCAGAAATCAACATTTTAGTGGTAGTATGTGGTACAGAAAAATTGTTGTTTTTGAAAACCCCTTTTTGCCTGGCCATCTGTGTGTACTATAATAGATATGTATTACCTGATTGATCTGGATGTGTGGAAATGGAAATTTAATTTTTTGAAGATAATTTATAAGAAGCCCAAATAAGATTTCAAAAATTTTTGTAAAAAAAGCACTCTAAATTTTGGTTAAAGTAGGGTACACAGTACACCCTTAGAGAAGCGTGGCAGCAAGGGGTGAAAGGGAGGGGAAGGGTGAGAAAGGGAATGGAGGAGGGGTCTCTTCTAGCCCTCCCTCAAATTACGCTAAGTGCTCTGACAGAAATGAATGAAACTTACTGATCTGCGATTTTTATGACGGTTTTATAACCTAAAGATAGGCCATTACTAATACCTGAATGATGCTCAACTTGCTTCCTGCAAACCATGACCCCTTCCGCACGAAACACTTACGCCCATGAGTAGTGGCCCCTTTCTTGCTTCACTTTCACTCAAAACCATCACACAACTTCTTTCCCGTGGCCAACCTCATAGGTCAGTTGCACACAGCACACTTAAATCCTGCAGCAATTAAACCATGTTCTTGCACCCATTCAATCACAGCCAAACACCACATTCAGCAAAATGCATTAAAAAAGACACATTTATTCTTACCACTCTAAGTTAAACATCTTCAACCCGAATTTTGTCCTGGTCTTTTGCTCGAATAGTGCTTTTAGTTTTGTTGATTAAAAGACTTACAATTGTTTCTTTAAATATTTTACTAAAATAGTGCATATGTTCTATATTTTACCTTTCTGAGTCCAATTTCTACATTAGTTTGTGTGAATTGCGGAAAGAATTTGTTAGTCACATAACAGCAGTCCAATCTGTTCAAGTATGAAGGACATACACATAGGGCCGCAGGTCATAAAATAACAGTTTGATAACGAAATTCTTGAAGATGGCTTTACACGGGGCATTGCTTGTGCGTTTTTCTCTGGATGCTTGACTTAACACATTTTCCCAGCGTAACCATTGATCCAGCATTTTAAGTTTCAAATCTGGTGACAGAAACCAAAATGATATTTCAAAATATTATATTTATCACACCTTAGTTAATTTGGTAATAACTGGCAATTTTTTTCTCTTTTATTGCCACTAAAAGTATTAAATTCAGTAAATTTTAGACATTTATAATAAAATTTTAAACTTGCAGAAAAAATTTCATTCGTCCAGCTTCCAAAGAAACTACTTAAAATTTTTTTAAAAACATTTTTCAATAATCGAAATTTTGAATTTTTAAAATTAAAATTTTTTTAATGAAAATATATTTTTAATTGACAATAATTAGTATTTAAACAATTTTGTAACATAATGTCATTGAAAATTTAAACAATTAAACTAAATAACAAAAATCATTGTGTAGGAGAGCTGAGGACGATTTTTGGTTGGAAACAAATTTTAAAAAGTCTTTTTTATATTGGATTTTAGTTATCATTTGACCAAAATGTTTGGAGTGTACTGGGAAAAACAGATTCAGATGACTGGCAGACAACCTGGGCTGGAATGCAGTTACGCATTTCTATTTCGTAGTATTGTACAAGGTTCAATTCCATATTTTTTTATTAAACCTATATAAGGAAAATTAATGACAATTTCATTTGTACCTTCTCTCCCATCAAATAATTGTCCTATTCATGACTTCCAACATCAGTCTTTTTACTTGTCTGTATATAAGGAGTAAAGAGAAAGTTATATAATGCTTCACCAATAACAGCGATTTTTCGACAGAAATAGTCGTATTGTGGGGCCCTGATACAGTAAAAGGGAATAAAACCTCTTTTGATAGATAGTAAATTTTTAGTAAAATTTAGTAAGTAGTAAATTTTAGTAAAATAGTTCCAAAACGTCAGTCTGTCTGTCCTTCCGTCTATCTGTGAAGAGCACTACCACCTATATCTTACATAAGATTTCTTTGAAAATGGATGTTCTCTAGTCAGTCTTGCTCGACCTGAAGCTTTACAATTTTTAAAAACGTACATTTTTCTGGATACTTTGCATGATGCCCAAGAAACATTTCAAAATTTTCTCAAATAGATCAAAATTTTTCATTTTAATTTTTAGCAAGAATTAAGTAAAATACACTTATAAAGATGGCATAGTTGCATTTTTCATTGTTAACTTTTAAGTTTTTTGAAAATTTCAAGAGTTTGAAATTTTTTTCGGCTTATCCCTACAACAACAAAATTTAAGATAGAGATTTTTCCTTCAAGTAATTTTTTTTCTCTATAGTTAGTTCTTTCATTGAAGTCATGAACATTTTTTGAAAATTTTAGTAGTTTGCACGCAATATGTGCAACTTAAAAAATAACAAAAAACAAAGATTTTTCTTGAAAATTGTTCCAATGTTTTAATTTATTTTTAACTTTGGGTAGGAATAGTGCTATATATACTCTCTAAGATGACATAAAGGCCATATTGCTCTATTTCTTTGATTTTGATAAATTACAAAAATGTAATTTTGTTGACTCGGCTTCCATGTCATTAATATTTATATTAGCTGCGATTTATTCACATTATTGTATTTATGGGCACATGTGCTTCAAATGATTTCTTATAAAATTCCCGAAAAATCTGAAGTTTTCTGTGAAAATTAGCTCAAAATTCTGCGTTTTCAAAATGTTGAATCTTGTAAAATAGAAATAATTCATTCCACTTCACTTGACTGTGTTACTCAGTTTAGCAGTAAAATTGTAAAAATCTTATTGATCAACAACAAATCCTAATGGAAAATTGTTTAAGAAATGTCTCTTTACAATAAACTATTCAAATTGCTATGTTAAAAAAATCTTCAAATATTACTGCAACGTTTGATATTTGAATGTTTTATGAAGATGCCTGTGGAAGGTTTGTGTTTATAAATACAGTATTTATTAAGTTATGGTATTATTTATTATTATTATTATTATTATTATTATTGTGGTGGTGTATTGGTGTCTGTTTTGTGTTCCCTTGTACTCAGGTACTTTCTCAAAATTGCATTTGTCAGAGAACCGTCTAAAAACAAGGCATCAAAAAAATTGGTTTCATATGACTATAGGTTTACCTCCTTCTCCAAGTAAAATTTGAACCTAGCTTTCAAACACTGTTTATCGCCTTGTGTACTTTTAAGATTTCCATAGTATAGATGGGATTAGGAAGGGTTTTGGATTATTGAAACTTAGTAATCAGCTCTTATGTTCCCATGTCATGCTTGTCAGCCTGTATTGTTGATATAGGGGCCTTAGTTTTTAGGCATGTTTTTCTGTTTTCTTTTGCTTCATGCTTTTATTTTTTTTTACTTTATAGGAAAGTGTGTGAGTGGGTTTCTTCATTTATTTTTTCAGATTCTCTCCCTGATATCAAAACTAGAAGAAGAAAATCGTACTGATATTTTACAAGCTGTAGTAGAATTGAATATAGAATCTCTCTTTAATGCATTGTTATTACCGACAATGAGACCAGGTGTCCTTCCTGTTGTGCTGCGGTTGTTACCTGTGCATTGTGCATCTGCGGAGGTTTTTCACAAAGTGAGTTTAACTATGCAACCTTTTTTTAAATAAATAATAATGAAGAATGAGTTTGAGTTTATTTAGTTGATAATTTAAACTTTAATTTAACTATAGATGCTAATTCTCATAAAAAAGTGTTTCACATTTTGTAAAATTAGTTTCTCTTATGTGCATGATTGTACGGGTCAATTTCAGATAATCAGATGAGTAAAAGTTGATGGCATTGCCTCTTTTACAATGTAAGCTCACTGAAATAAGCGGCATCATATTATTTGTGCCATTCTTGGATTCATTTTAACATTTTTTTATTCTCATTTTATTATATCTGTGAAAACCTGTAGAATTGTGTGTAATCTTATATGTGTTTGGTTCCTTCTGAATATTCAAAACTTATCCAATTGCAGAAGTATAACTGTGATATTAAATGTAATGACAGAGTGCCAACAAACTTTAAAATTATGGAAAACTCAGAATTTTCAGATCGTGAAATTTTGGATAAAAACAAAACAAAGAAACAGAAATGAATAACCTAAAGCAATTATTTCAATTTCAAATTCAGTCTTTACTACAATGCTAGGTTATTCACTTTACCATTCATAATTTAAAACAACAAGATGTTTGCAATATAGAATAATTAGTTATTGTTGATTGGATGATTCATTTTAACTTTTTTTTCATTGAATTGAACCTTCTTTCAAAGTTTACATTTTGCATTGGTATGCTTCAGGCTTAGAAACAATTTTGTGAAAAATTGAAAATTTCCAAAAAAATATTTTTTGTTGACACTCTGTTAAAGTTATCACAACTGTCTACATCTCCTGTATTGGTGATTCACAGATAGTACCTCGAATACCTATAGTCATTCTACAACTAAGAAGGGAAAAAAATAATCCAGTAAGCTGTGATGACCTACGTGCAGTTCTCAATATCACTGCACAGTGCATGCATGTGTTCCCTGGCCATCGTCAACTATATGAGCCTGTTATAAGAGTTCATGAGGTAATTAATTCATTCATTCATAGTTTCATAAAAATGTATCAATTTTTAACTTGCATTGAAAAATTATTTAGAAAATGTGCCAGCTATTAATATTATTTATGATATTAACTTATTGGTAAATGACCTCCAGTTTCAAAATTTCCTTACATTTTGTCAAAATTATTTTCATTTGACCATAAATAACATATTTGCAAAAAAGAGCTAATATTGAGTCAGAATTAAGCCTCACTATGTGTATAACAATGTGAGCAAGCTCCATAATTAAAGTAAAAGAAATTTTTTGAAGCCTTGATTCATTTTTGGTTTGTAAATTAATTTCATTAACACTGCTAAACTTTTTCTTTCTCACTCTATAGAAAATTTTTTGTACTCATACAAAAAGTTTATAGAAAAGTAGTCAATTTCTTTTTTCTAAAGTGTTCTTGTTAAAATTTTATCATTTATCACTTGTATAACACTCTTGTCCTATAAACAATTTTGAGAAAAAAATATTTATTTTATATGTGCATTACTTAAAAAATGAAGTGATACCATAAACTTATAATACCATAAATTAAGCATATTGTGTGGTATCTGGTAATTTGTTGTACCTCTGGAATTTATACTCAGCTGTATTAGGCGAAACAGTATTCAAGTGGTTCACTGTGACCAGTTCTGGTAGCACATGCATGACCATTGACAATCTTTTGCAGTGGAATGATATGCCATTCAAACTGCATTTTCTGGATTGCTATTTCTCAATATAAGGCAGAAGTTCAGAAAGTATTACCTCACATATCGTATTGCTCTTTAAAGCAAAAAGAAAAAAGAATGAAGGAAAAGCTTTTCCTTATCCAAAATTTATTGCATTGCTACATTAAGATTTCGAGATTGATTTTTCTGAAAGAGTGGTCTTATATGGTTGCAAATACAGTAATGTGCTTAATTGTTTTTAATTTTCAAATAGTTCAGAGAATTTCTGTGAAGATCCTTCAAAATACCTTTTAATACCACTTTTGGTTTAAATACCTTTCTAATTCCACTTTTGGTCATGTGACTGTGAATGCTGTTGTTTAATTTCAAGGTGTCGTCTTGCACTGTTGTATATGTTGTGTAGACCTCTTTGGGTATGTAGTTAGTGTTTAAAACTTTCTAAACTAAAGACCATTGGTTTCTGACCAGTGTGTCATGAAATGTTGTTATTTGTTGATTCTAAGGGTGCAGCCTAAAGTCTTACAATGTATGTGTTGAGTCTTAAAGCTATTTCAACAGAAGGCAGTAAAGCCACAAATATTATAAATAAATATTCATCCTTGGAATGAAGGAATATCAAAGATCACATGTTACTGTTGTTTTTCTCATTAATTCAGTTAATAATTTGCAAGCACATTTCAAATACTGTTTCACTTTCTTCAATTAGTTATTTGCAAGTTCAAAACTTTTTAAGAGTTAAGAATACTAGATACAAAGTAAATTTAAATTAGACAAGTTGAAGGAAACTCACCTTTTCACCACACATGTAGCACAGATAGCAACTGATCATAGATCACAGATCACCTGATAAAGAAAGCAAAACAGTTTTTGAAATGCTGTTCTTATAATTTTAAATTCAATTAATGTAATAACTGACATTTAAATATGAATTTTGGTTGTCCTTAATTATAAGGAAGAGTATACGTTTATAATATGACTTAATGCAAGCAATAACTTAAAAACATTTTGATAAAACCAAAAATCTCTATTTTCTGCACCAGTTTCTAAATTTCAATAATTTTCAAACTCCATTTCTTGTCTTACTTTCTTTAAAAGCTTTATTTCAGGGTTTGCCCTACATCTTACAGCTCTATAATATCTAAAATAAAATCTTAAATTCAGATGATATCTCAGATACTTACTTTCCTTGCATGCTTTGTTACAACAGTAATATGTGGTAGCCAGCAGACCACCTCAGCATTATTAACTTTCATTTAATGTTGTGATTTTTCAGTGGTAGATAATCAAGATAATATTAGGGTTCATTGAAATAAACCTCTTGACAAGGGTTCTTTACCCTACGAAACATTTAGAATGCCTGCAATAGTATGTTGTGAAACCAACAAGAGGTGTTTTATGAACATTCAATATTTAATTTGTAATTAATGCCATTTGGAAGACCTCAATTCAGCACACATTGTTTCTTACCATACATAAAGTTCATTCCTTTTGTATCTTAATGATCAAGTCCTGTGCAAATAATTACAAGGTGTTCATGCTCTTAGTGATGATTATATTCCATTATTGAAAGTCCTTATTATGTTAGGAGGTAGCATAGGTTTTGTAATACGTATTGCCCATTAAACATGTAGGGAACCACGGTAATAGGTATTAAGTAACTGCACAGTTCCTTGTACACCTTTTTTCTCATCAGTGGATTGCAGTTGATATATGAATTTTGTTGTTGAGGTTGAGATTAATGATTACCATTTCCTGAATGTGTATTATAATGACTTTCTGTGGTAATTCTATTAAAGATGCTCCTTCAAGAAAAATATTTTAAGTGTTCTGCAGCTTACTACCAAAGAAAAAAGCTACTTATTAAATATTTTGTGTCGATAAGTTGTGTACTTTCTTTCATAACCAATGGTCGCTGCGGTCCAGGCATGTTGGCAAGATAAAAGTTTCGCAGGGAGCCCAACATCCAATGCAATGTCTTCCTTGTGGCGATTGTCGCCTCCTCCACCTGCAGCACGATGCGGTTTACACAATTTGGGCAACACGTGTTATATGAACAGTGTTCTTCAAGCCCTCTTCATGACTCACAAGTAAGGCTCCTTAAGAATTAGTACTTTATGTTTGAAGTTTGCTTCCAGAAATCATAGCAGGTATTTGTTAGTAACTTAATGTTTTGTTAGTTTTTATTAAATATAATTTTTTCTTTCTTTGTTCAACTTAAGGAAAATTATGGGAAGGATATTTTCTTTTCCTGTTGGGTGTGCTGACATTAAAATAAAACTGCAGGAGGAATTACTTTCTAATAGATAGTGCCCCAAATGGTCCCTTTTTCCATCACAAGTTCCTAACTCCTTAAAATGCTTTTACTGCTTGCAAATTTTGAGCATTTATAAATGTCATTTTGTTCATAAAAACATAAAATTTAACAGATTTAAAAAATCAAACAAAATTTATTTTATGTGCATGAAATATTATAATAATAAGAGTAAAAAATATGTGGAAGGAATATGAAATCAGATCTTTTAAAGTAGTTTTGGTACATAAAAGTAAAACATATTTTTGGTATATGGATCTAACTTATCAGGTGACACCAACCTTTATTACGGTCATGAATTGCTATAACTATTTATTGGTCAAATATGTCTCTTACCTCTTAACCCTAAGTGCACTTATACCTACCTCTTTAAGAGAATAAATAAACTATCATCAATTCATCGCAAGTTAACTGGTTATTAAGAAAGAACATGGCAATGTACAAAACAAATCAGTTTAATAGTAATTCGTATTAAGTTTGGAATACTTATTGTTAATTATGATACTAATATATTAGTACAATTAGAAACATGTATATTAAGTCCATGCATCCTTATATTCTGAATGTTGATGAAGATCCAACTATTGAAGAAGTATTGTTTGAAGACCTCTTATTGCTCTGTTAGCAAAGATGCAGCACACTCCTTACTTTTTTGATGAGATGTTTTTGGTTGTGTTCACACGACTTGAATTTTTGGAACACCTTTTATATAGTTGATGATTTTAATAGTTATGTCAGGAAGAAGCATCCATGACATTCTGACTTTTCAATTCGCTCCGGAGAGCCTTGAGAACATCCTCTTATTCATTGTTTTATCTGAAGTGAGTATAATTTGTTTCACATATAGATGTTTGTGACCGAAAAAAACAAAACCCATTGCCATTTAAGCATCCTGGAAGATTATTTTCAGTGATATAGATTTATATCTCATAGTGGCAAGTCAAAGTGCAAGCCAAAGTGGCAGTTGCCATCAAAATTCTGGAATAGTTTATATTTAAGAAATTACCATTTTTTTCAATTCATATTAAGTAATTTTTCGTTTAGTTAACTAAATGATCTCATTAATTCTGTGAAAAATCATTGATTGTTATATGTTAATATCACGTGTGCAATTAAACCTCCACAACTACCAATCAGAATCCAGAAAAGACTCAAAATCATTTAATTAAGACACCATAACACTGATGTGGCCAAGGTATTCCCAGTCAGTCATAAAGCATGAACAAAAATTTACATCATGGTTTACTTTCCTACATCAACTACATATAAACAATGAATAAATATAACTAAATTGGTGATGCAAATGACTAATTGAAAAAAATTAACATGAATAAATTAAATATTTTACAAGGAAAAACATTTGGTCTCAGCATTACTGTACATGGTATGTATCTTAATGAAAGAAATATAAACGTCAGTGTGTTTACCAGTATGTCAACAAAACTTGTCCAAAGGAAGTTTTTTTTTAATTCCAATATTTTTACATGTTATATTCTCTCTCATAACTGTCTTAACGTTTCCTGGGAAGTAAGTTTTCATGTCTTTGTCAACTTCTAATATTTCATCCAGCATAAGTTCAATGTCTCGCATTTGACACATTTCTTTTTCCTCTAAGCCTCTGTTATGATCATATGTACACAATGCATGGCCCATTAAAATAGGCCTTCTTCAGAAGCAACACGATGTCATCAAATGTATGCCTTGAATGGTAAAGATGTCTGAATTTCCCAAAACTTAAATTATTCTTAAATGGAAACTAAAAAATATCAAACATAACATGTGAATAATGGGGTATAATTGCATTTGTGCTAAATAAGAAAACTCGCTTCTATTGTCACTCGTTTTCTTGAACATACCACTTGTGCAATTATACCCATCTTTATCCACTTGTTTCATTGATTACTGTAATTAATTGATTTTAATTACCTTACAAGAAAAAGTGTGCCGAAGACTATTGATTCTAAAATTGATGTCACAATTAAATAGTTTGAGGTCATTGACAAAAAGTTAAAATGAGCCCAGCTCATAATAAATAGGAAAACTGTAAGGGTCGAAAATGAGAACTTAGGGAACACTTGGTGTTACAATGATGTTTCTAATTATAAATGACTTGTATGTAGCATTTTGAAGTCTAACCATTAAATAATTCCCTATTCATTTCAATATTTCTATGTTTATGTATTGATTTTTATGAAATAGAAATAAAAAATTTCAAAAAAATAAGTAAATTCACATTTTTAATTATAATCCTGAATTTTGTGAAGTTGTGGTTTGTTCATTAAAACTGTGAATGTCATTGAGTAATCATGGCATATAGATGATTGTTGATGTATTGTTTCAGATTTTGTACTGCTGTTCTTGACAGTGAAATGTCTGATAGATACCAACCTGTGTTATGTGGACTTCAAAGGTTATTTGCCCTCTTGCTGCATTCACGACGGCCAGCGATATCTGCTGAAGATTTGCTTAACTTGACCAGGCCTCCAGGATTTTCTCCGGGTCATCAGCAAGATAGTTCAGAATTCTTGATGTAAGTTATAAACGTTTCTCCTCATCCTCCAAAACGTCTTTCAAATGTTCATTTCAGTTTTTTCAATTTTTTGTGTTTTTTTACACAAGATATACACACACCTAGCCATATTCCTAAGATTTTAAAAAACTTACTTCAGGTAGACTTATCTGTATATAAAAGTAATGAGATACTAATGGAAGAGAACCATAACACATATAAGACTACAAAATGTCCTATTGCTTCTAATTCAGTATCTAGAGACAAATAAGAAATTGAATAAAATTTTCACTTTAGAGTTGAAAAAATATTCAAGTTCGAACATTCTTCAAAGATTTTTCTCTTAACTGCAACTTGATAATACTGTTTCTTTTGTTACAAAAATAATATTGTAAATGCCTAAGCCAACAGGTTAACACCCTATGGAAATTTTGCAGGACTAATGATATAAAGTAATTATTTTTGTATTAATTTGTGGTCAATATTATGTTCAGTTCAAACAGTAAGACTTATCTCATTTTTTTATTCAGTGATGCTCAAATGAGTCTAATTCATCACAAGACAAGAATGAAATTCCTTATCTCTCTGTAACTAAGTTGCAGGTACAAATTCCTAAACAATTTCTCCTTTGGTTCCAACCAATTCAATTCAACAAGATGTTTGTTTATTTCAGATATCTCCTGGATGTTTTACATGAGCAAGAAAAAAATTTACGAAACCAAAAGGGTTCTGAAAAAGAAAATGCAGATCAGGGTCATTCTTCCTCCTCTTCTGCTCAGGATGATGGTCCATCTGCTTCATCAGGTATTTTTGGTATTAAGAAATTTTGCTCTTGATGCATAGTGAAATAATTTATATATTCATTTCACAGAAATTGTAATGTGACTGCAAGTCTTTTTCTGCAAAAAAAAAAAAAAAAAGTATTATTCATGTGAGAAGCTTTTAACAGCTTAGCTAGTCTGGGACAAAATGGATTTAAATCATTAAGTGAAAACTCCGTTTAAAGTAATTTACCATCCAATAACTATTCTAAACTGTATCACAAAAGTCTGAAAGCCTAAAACCAGATTTATCAATCCAAAAATTGACAAGAGTACTTTTGATCAACAACGTGGTTTTGTTAGCAAGAACCCTACAACCACTAATCTAATTCATTTTACCAATAACAATTCCAAGACTGTGAACACTAAAAAACTCGGTTGACATCATGTACAGAAACTTTGATAAAGTAAATTTGAAGCTGTTAATAAACCAAGCTAAAGCATCATATAAATTTGATCACTTTGAAATGGCTTACAAGTTCTGTGACAAATAGTCACAGATAATTCCGTATGAAGAGTTTAAATCGCTGTTTTGTATCAGGAATTCTGGAGTTCCCCAGGGTTCACACTTGTATCCGTTGTTATTCTTAGCTTGATTTCATTTCTTTTCATCTTGTTCCATCCTCTACAATTATAAAAGATTCCGCTTCCTGAAATACAATAACGTTGTCAGAAACATGCAAGTCTTGTTAAAAACTGGTGTGCGCCAAGAACAAGCTTCTGTGTCATCTTTTGTTTGTTTCTGTACATTTTTGCTATTTCTGCATGGAGACAATCTCACGACTAGTCCCTGCCATGTACTTTTGTCTAATTGAATACCTTTGCCATTCAGTTAGAGATTGTGTTTACCGCCCCATTCAAAAATATTGGTCTGAGTTGCCTTTCAAATTTGCACTGGAGGCCGAGAATACAAAAGCAAATATTATTATGTATTCTTATGTCAACATGTACGAGTTGTGTGACATGGAATGGCAGTGTAAAAAATCCTTAAATCTTTACTGACTAGACTCAATCTGTGAAGATAAGACGTCCCCTCATTTTTCGACTGAGATATTTCGGAAAAAACCTTGTCATATATTTGGGTAAATGCAGTATTATTGGCAAATAATATTTTGAATGTAGGGGGAATAGATATAGTATAACAAAATTAATGAAAATAAAAGGGGAAAATAAAATTATTTTAGTACTACTAGCAATATTTTAATGAATCTGAATGCAAGAAATGAAAAATGAATGGTGAATGATTGAGGGGTGTAGAGCTTCTTCTGGTAGGGCAGTGCCCCACTGCAGGGGCTACCTTTTGCTCCATTTCACACCACTAAGAGAAAGAGTATAGCCGAATAAGGGGGTGAAAAGTGCCCCCAAACCAAATGGATTGTGATACTCAGATGAAAGAGAATACAAAATGCTGTAAATTTCCAAAAAATCAGCCTCCTAAGGCAATCTGTTGCAGAGATGCAACAAGAAATGCGTGTTTCAGGTTTTATTTTTTTCTCAGATTCTATTACATGTATCAGGCTGAAAGAAATAGCAGAGAAGGGGCAAATAGTTGAACATGATGGTATTTTTATCAACCAATTTTGACACAAATTGAAGTAGAAAAAAATTAATAAGTTTTTGAAATTGATTTTGAATGTTATTACATTGGAGTACTGTCTCAGTCCCCCCCCCCGAATGTCTTTTATAACGTATATTTTTTTCAGATTTTTAAACTAAGTGGACGATAATGAAAAAACATTAAAACCAATTTTATCACTTTAAAATTGTAATTCTGGTCAAAATGTGATTGAAAAATTATTTTTCACCAATGTTTGAATTGTTGGAAACTCTCACTTACCAGCCTGATTTACAACTTTTTTGTGACAAATGTTTGTTTTTTTTTATGTGAAAAGTATTTGTATTAACGAAATAATATCAACAAACCCCTTTTGTTTTTGGATTTATGTATTGTTTCTAATATAACTTTAATTACCCTATTTTAGGAATATTAATCATTTGTGTTTATAATGTAAATCAAACTACTCAGATGTAGATTTATTAATAGCGACAATTGAACAGTCATAGACAATTAATGATTTTCACTGTCTTCTTCAATAACTGGGATTAGTTGTTTTTTTATAAACACTTTTTTCAAAATTTCTGGTAGGTTAATAATTTTCACGAAGTAACGAGCGTGTGCCAAATAGTAAATGATCACTGCTATGTGAGAACACGCAAGCATTCCAGGGTGCCACTTCTATTCACAATATTGTTTCACTCTCAATATGCGAGTTTTCCTTGGTTACACTTTCCGTGGTGAAAAGAGATGGGTGGACTCCTCCAGTGCATAATTTTTCTCATTCTGTATGGCCCTGAATAAGACCACAACACGGGCGCTTCATTTGAAAGCGAGACCAGGTGTTGGCCGTGTTGCATGGAAAACAAGAAGTGTTGACAAACATTTTGAAAGTAGCATTAAGTAACAATTTTTAACTGTGACCTACAGGAAATAGCACGATGATGGTGAAAATGAAATATAAGAAGTAATATTTTAGAATAATATGATACCTGTTTCTGAATGACTTGTAACTGTGATAATTTTGGCATTTAAAATTCCCACTAATATTATGATGCAAACTGTTGCCTGAAGTTCATTGACTAAGGTCGGATGCGCAAGAGCCCACCCATCTCTTTCCACCATCTATATTGCGATTGATTTTAATACATCAATGTAAAACATATAAGATTACGGGTTTGTGTGTTGTGATTGTGTCTGTGTTTAAATATTGATAAAAACATTTATTTTCTAATCAATTTTGGCGTGATTTTCAAATTTTTGAACTGATAAAATTGGTTTTTATATTTTCTCACTATTGTCCACATTGTTTGAAAATCTGAAAAAATGTTTTATCGAATGTTACAAGATGCATTCTAGGGGAAAAAACTGAGACAGCATTCTGTTATCATATGGAAAGTAAATTTCAAAAATTTATGTATTTTTTCTTCTTGAGTTTGGCATCAAAATTTGTTGACAAAAATACCTTCAAATTCAACTATTTGTCCCTGTCTTTGCATTTTATTTTTATTATTTTCTCTCCAGACTGATATATGCAATTAAAAATGAGAAAAAAATATAACATGAAAAACATGTTTCTCTGCAACAGATTGCCCGTGGAGGCTGCTTTTTTGGTTTCGATTTGGTTTGGGAGCACTTTTCACCCATACACCTTTATACCCGTATACCTTTTTGTCATCTATGGTTTCGAAAAAGAGTGACTTATTGGCTTCCCTCCCCTTCATATTAAGAAACTAAAATAATGGGACAAACAAAAAATTACCTTGGAGTGTCTGTCAAATTGCATTGAAAAATAATAAATGTTGTCATTTGTTATATACTACCAGAGAAAAACATGAAAATTCAAGTCCTTATGCATAGTTTAGGCAAGTGCAGGTTGTCTGAGGCTGTGATTTCTCATATCTGATTCCCCTGCCATCACCATGGAAACAGAGAGACCATCTAATTGTTAGCCCTAAAGTTCCATCTCCCACAGTGTAGAGTAATATTACAGCTTTGTGTGTTTTCTGCTGTACAGCAATTGCCGAAGCAGGAGTGCCAATGGACGAGGATGAGGATGAAGACGACGATGTACCAGGTGCAGTTGGAGGAGCACCTGCTGTAAATTCTTTTGTGAATTCAACGAATTCTTTGGGCCAAAGGGTGGATCAAGACCAAAGAGACAGAGATACTATTGTTCGAAGGACATTTAGTGGTAAATGGCAAATTAAGATACAGTGCCTGACATGTAGATCTGAGTCCTCTCACACTGATCCTTTCATTGATTTGCAGGCGAGTATACATCTTATGCTTTTATTGAAATGAAAACCGAATATTACTGTGTATTTTCATTTGTGAATCCATAAAAGGACAATAATAAGATAAAAGTGAGAAGAGTAGAACAAGACATTGACAGGAATGTGCAGTTTATCTTTCAGTTGGACTCTCATAATATAGAAAATTTTACAGTTGTGTTTCGTTGCTTTCTTTTCCAGGAGTTATTTACTTTCAACATTTTTTTCCTGAAATAAAATACTGACATATCCAAATCATCACATGATTCAGGACTGTTTTTGCTAGCAAACATCCACAAGTGTTGGAAACAATTTTTTAGTATTATGCTCTCCACAAAAAACAGTCATTTTGCAAACTTTTACAACTTGCAGAAATCATATTTATTTAATACAGCCTTTTTAAGATGATAATTTTATATCCCTAAAAGCAAGCATATTTTGAGTGCAGTCTCACAATGTAATTGTTAGAGATGATCAACATATCATATTGCAATAGTTAGTCAGTCATCAAACCATGTTCTTGTAGGTTTCAAAAGTTCAATCCAAGATTCAAAGCATGTCATTATTGCAGATGGGTACTGGGTTGTTTTGTTTGGGGGGGGGGGGGATGGTACGATTGCAGTAAATTTTATATTATTTATACACAACTATTTTAATACACTTTATCTTTCTTACTCTCCCCTTCAATGTTTTTTCTACGTTATTCTTGCAACAGTACTTTAGTAACATTAAAACATCTGCGTTACTGGCAAAGGTGGCTCAGGGCATCAACTGAGTCACTGCACTGCCTCTGACCAGGAAGTTGTAGGGTTTAAATCCTGGCGGTGGTAGGATTTTCGATACTAGCTTCATAGCTAGGCTGAATTCATCCACAGTTTGGAGGAAAATTCTAGCAGCTGGCTGCTCTGATAGGTAGTTTTCCCTAGTTTCTTAGATCAACACCAGGTGAATGCCGGAGCAATACCCTAATAAATGGCCACGGATGGCGTGCGATCTTTCCTTCCTCTTCCTTGTCCCATCCACCCACCTTATTTGTTCACATGCACTGCACTGCCCTACCACACTTGTTGAGAGACATCGAGAGCTTAGAGCTTGCCTCAGCAGGAGCGTTGCGAGACTGGTGGGAGATACCTGATTCGGAAAATTCCCTAAACCTGATGTAGGTCAGCGCCGGATCACGCTATCCAGCAGGGGAAGATCGCCACCATCTCCCGCGATAAAAAACACTTATGGACTAATGACTGTTGTTGATACATCCAGAATCAACAATCAATATCAAAAAATAAAAGTGAATGTTCCAAGATTCATCCCAGATAGTCACAACCCATACACCAAACAATATTGTTTTGTTGCTTGATATGTAATTTTTAATTGATCTCAATTTACAATTATCATTTGCTTTGTATAGTGTGCTGTAAAGAACATAATTTTGAATCTAATCGTATTATGATTGTATAACTTTTCCAAACGAAAAGAGCTTTTTTGTAGTTTGTTGGTCTCTGTCAGATATTATTTCTTCTCGAATGAGTCGAGTGCAGTGAAAGAAAACTTTCCTGACATCACTACAACACGAGGTCTGATCGCCACATTCAAGGTCATTAAAGTCAAATTCATGAATACTGAGAATCACAACTGCTTAAAAAGTGCATTTTAAGAAGTTATATTTCTGTGAGTTGTAAAATTTTCCAAAATGTCATAGTTTATTCAGAGAATGTAATGGTGTGTGTCAACTTTTTTATTTCATACTTGTGTTTGCTTGTCTGTTCATTAACTGTTTCCCTCCCAATAGAACTTTCATTTGAGGGGGATATCAGTTTAAGCTGAACAAAACAGTTCTGGGGGAACATATTTACTCATGCGTATACACTCTTTTTACTATATTTGAGGAGGTAATATTCATAAGTTGACTTATCCAGTTGGCAAAAATTGAATTTGACTCTGAATTTTGTTCAGAAATTTATTTCCAGGAAAGAGCGAGATGTCTAATATTACATTCATTTAGATAATGACAACGATAAAAAATTAAAAATATTGTGCTCCAGTTCTTCATTTTCCTTGGAAAGGAGTGAAGTAGACATGTTAGGTTTTGAATGATTGCTTCTCATGTATTATAAACATAAAAATTGAGTTTGATTAATCGCAAGATTTCAGATCAAAATTTCTCCTCAATAAGCATGACGCCACTATAAAAGTAAATAAATTTTGGTGTACTTGCTATGTGTTAGTAAAAAGTTATTTAATCAATCAATAGAAGGAAAGAAAAGAGTGAGAGGGTGGAGGAGAGATATTCAGAGAGCGAGTCATCGGTATCTGTATGGTGAGTTGAGTGTGTGTGGCAGAGTAAGTGTGAGTCTGTTTGGGGGGGGGGGGGAGAGGGGGTGGATTGCGTGTGTGAGAAAGTGTGTGTATGAAAGAGAGAAAAAAAAAATTGTTACTTCCCACTATCTTGTTCAGGTGTGCTTCCCAGAGGATCAGGCTGGATCTGATTCTCATCCTCTTGAGCTGCAAGCTTTAATCCAAGCTCTCTTCTCCCCAGAGAAGTTATCAGGTGACAACAGCTATCACTGTGAAAAGTGCAGGTCTCTACAAGAGGGGGTGCGCGTTTTGCGTGTTGTTGAGCCTCCAGAGTATCTTATTTTGATATTAAAACACTTCCAATACAATCCAGTGACAAGGCAGAGGATGAAGCTAATGCACAAGGTAAGTAAATGGAGATGCATACTGTGAGTCTTGTTGTGACAGAACAAAGTGAATACAGTTCAACTGAAGTATGTGGGACTTGAAGATGCAGACACTGACATTCTCACTGACACTTACTCAAATTCAAAAAGTGTTCATCTCACTTATGCAGATTCAAATCACATTTGTATCAGTTTCAAAGGTGTAGATTGAACAGAAATACAATACTGTTACAAGAAATTGATAAAAACATTTTCACTCTGATTTCTGTTGTTTTTTTTTTCTTTTTTCTTTTTTTCTTTTTTCTTTTAATATTTCTTTTTTTATATATATTTCATTTTTTATTGTTTTACTAAACCATGTCTCCTCTGAAACTAACCGACCATTACTCACGTGAAAAATTATCAGTCTTAAGTCTGCTTAAGAAGTCCATAGCATTTATTGAATCAATGGTACATTTATGGGTATTACTCAAGTGTTGCTCGATCCACATTTTGCAAGCTCAGGATGAATATCAGAATGTTATCTTTTTGAGTGTCACTTTTTCAGTTAGTAGACATAAATTAGAAATGGTGTAAGTGTGGAAACATTCAAGCATTTCGGGAATTGTTATATTTCAGGAATCAAAGAATGTCCTCTGTTGGCAAATATCTACAAAAATTGTTTGGAAAATCAGTTTAAATACTTTTTTCATTCTCACTTATAAAGTTTTTGTTTTGTTTAAGAATGTCGGGACTTCATACATCATCTCAGTAATAGGTGTTTCGCACTTATCCAGGTTCGACTGTATCTCCAAATAGGAACTATCTTGCATCTTTAATATACTGGGAAATTAGTTGTATATGTAGTCTCTTGTTGTCAGTAATTTACTTACACAGTTTGGTGCTCTGATGTGTGAAATACAATTTTTACTAGTTTCTTATGTTGTTACGAATTATCAAATTTGTCTTATGGTTTTGAAATGTACTGTGATACTGGAAAAAGGATCGACACAGTCCAAGTTTGCCTTCTGTCTGGGATGGAACACCACTGCCTCCCATGTTATAATATGACTACACTTGTGTGTCTAATGTCCATTAGAGTTGAGATGCTTGAAACACTGGATACTTGCTCGCTCACTCGCTCGCTCATCCTGTTGTACTAAGAACAATAAATATTGGTAACTCAAGATAATTTTCAAGGTCTTCTATCTACTCATTCCTGTGTCAAGTACTGGGAAAAGAATTGGTAGCTGTAGTTACAACCACAGAGTAAGGACTGCAAATAGGAAAAGCTATACATCTAAATAAATTGTATCCATTACAGTGGTACAGTGGATGTAGGGAGCAAGGACAATTCAGATTTAAATTATATATTGATTATACAAACATTGCATTAATTAACTTATTAGTAGACGGAAAGTTTTGGTGTTAAAAACTGTTTTAGATGCCTAAAATAGGCACTTTAACTCATACTTAACATGTATTTATGCCATAAATCAATGTTTTAGGTTCCAAAATTCTATCTTTACATGTATTTTATAATTTTAGAAAACTGCAAATAATTTTAAAGTATGCTAACACTCTTCTGACAATTATCATTTATTAATTGCACATCAATCTTTAACTTTTTCTTCCCAATGGAGCTCATGTTTAAATTTATATGAATGCAATAAAGCAACATTATAAGTTACGTATGCATGTTCCCTGTAAAACAGCATTCTAAATTTATATATAAACCAAAATTATTTTTGGAACAAATGATGTTATTATGCTCTGAAGGGAGCACAGGCAGACAGGACAAAAAGTGAGGATGTACTGAATGATGTGCATGAAGCAGGCTGGGCCATAAAATGCACTTTTATGAATGATTTCTTGCATTGGAAATGGTCGTTTTAATTGCTAGTACCCTCTATACAAATATTATTAAAAATGAAAATACCAAAGTTCTCATTTGTGTATTGTAAGGGTTAAAATAGCTATTTTATAATAGCTATTTGCTTCAAATCTGTTGACTACTTATCAGATAATCAAATCAAAAGTTACTTTGAAAAAACAAACAATTGGTTTAATTGCCAAACACTGTGTACAAGAAAACTTGATATCAGGAATGGTTGAAATGAAGTATGGAAACAGTTTTATCCTTTAAACTTCTTGCAGGGAATCAGAAGTACTTACTCTGATTTCTCTGATTGACTACATACTCTGCCACCTTAGCTTCATTGCCATCACTTCTCAATCAATATCTAGTAATAGAACTTAGCAGAATGCAGTAATTGTGCTGCATTCAATGTGGCCATGGAACGCAGTTTTGTTGGAGTATGTAATATTATGTCTCTACAAGTCGTTTTGGGACTTAAAGAGTTATCAAAAGTATCAGAATAGTTCTATTTAGAAATACTATTTTATTTACCATTGTGCAAAGAAAAGTTCTTTAATTGAATTCTTCACCCAGATCTTTTGCAATTGCTTTAGTTACTCTGAACTGCAAATACTAGAAAAATGATGCCATTTATAATATTTTATGTTTTGGAGAATTGTTGTATTAATCATTTTCCACTCTCTGTTTCTCAGGTGCATTACACAGAGACACTAGAAATTCCATTGGCATCAAATGCCCAAAATGTAGCCAGATACAGGCTTTATGCTGCAGTAGTTCACTCGGGGCGTAGTGTGGATGCTGGACATTATTACACCTTTACGAGAGACGCTGAAGATACATGGTTACGAATGGACGATGAGACTGTTTCCCTCAGTAACTCTGAGCAATTGAATTTGTTGCGACCACCAGAAACCCCTTACATGTTATTTTACTGTGGTTCAGGTGGAACTTTGCAACCTTCGGTGGGTTCACCCGAGCAGATTCCACTTTCGAACCTGAAACCAGGTTTGGCTCAGCTTGTCATGAGTGATAACGCAGCCTTTCTTCAAGAAGAGAGAAATCGAAAAGCACGGATGATCCAAAATAAAGTTTTAGACAGACGCTATCGTACTGATGATGATGACGATGACGATGATGAAAATAATCATCCGGGAAGCAGTTGTGGGGGTCAGGTAGCAATGAACCCTCCGTCAAATAGGTTTGTTTATTAAGTGGATGTTTTGATCTGTGGAATATATCGAAATGAAGTGAATGGTTTTTTGTGCGTGTTTCGAAAGTAATTTAAATGTTTTAGTTCTTGAAAATATGTCACAATTTTCTGAGTTTTTAGACTGTTGGCAACTTTTTGTGTTGCTTTTTGCAAAAGAGCTGTGAATAGAAAGTTCAATTTATGTCTGTGATCTTAAATGTGTTAGTTTTTAGTGCTGTTGAACATGAACAGCGATTCCTATAAACATAATTGTATATTTATTAATATTTGACGTTTTACTTCACATCATTTAATATTTTCATTGTATTTATATTGTGAGTGTTGCCTATGAAATGCTGTGTATTTTCTCTGAGATTGTTTCCAAATGAATGAGGAGTGAAAAATACTGTTCCTGCTCTTTATAGAAGTAGGTATTTGTGATACTACTTTTGTATTACTGGCTAATGTTGGGTGCAGCGGCCGTTGTTGTATATTGGTATTGTCCAATAGGATTTACAGTTTCAGAATTAAAAGTATAAAATCTTAAAAAATCATGTCATGTATTTTTTTAATATGTATGGAATGTAAGGTGAGTAGTAGTTCATGTAAGGAAAATTATATTTGAAACTTGCAAAATGTTTTCTTAACAAAGATTCTTGGAATAGGCTAACCTATGTAAGAATCTCCTCACCTCTTATTTTATGTAGTTTTATTTTTTGTTTATTATTGCAACATGCATTCATCACAATACAATAAAATCGTCCTGACAAATCGGTTACCTACCTAAATTCATTATCTTCTTACTTCTAAAAGACATACTTATCTCTTTTTTACCTCCTTTTTTGTTTCCTTTTATTTTTATTATTATTTTCCATTGTGTCCATCCTCCCTCCTTTGTTGTTATTACTGTTGACATCAACTGTTTTATAGAGAGAAAACAATTAGAAGTATCAAGTGGGTAAACCTCAGGAACAAAATGAGGCCATTTCGTGTGGGGGGAAAAGTAGTTTTCAGTAATAATTGTGTATTTCCAGGGTATTGACATTTTTCATTAACAAGGAATACAGTTTTTTATCTTCAGTCTTTTCTCAGTCCCAGACATTTTAGAAGCCGTGGTACCAGGTATCTTCACCAAATTCTGGAGAACGACCAAATTTCTTGTGCTTCTTGGATAGAAATCATTCTTTAATTGTATCTAAACTATTATGTTCATCAGGGGTACTTTTGCTAGTTTCTGTACGTTCCAAATTGCTGACAGAATCCCTCTCAAAGAGTCAACAAAAACAGAATATGAAATTTCTGGAGAAGTCGTAGTATTCAAGCATATTTAGAGGAGAATGAAGTTTTGTATTGCTAAGTGGTTCAAATTTAGTATTTATTAAGAAGTACTTAATATTTATTTCCCAATTCAATATTTTTGAAATATAGGGGGACATTTTAATCGAGATATGTAAATTGTGTTAAGAATTATGTGTTTTGACACAGTCACAATGACTCAAATCAGTACTACCCTAGATGTAGGGTCTGAGACATTGAGGCTGTAATTCCAGTATAACTACTAAGGGAGCAGATATTTTTTCTTCCTTCCTGTAAAGTAATGAAGTTTATGAGTTGAAGTCTATATATAAATAGATAATAGATAAATTTATTTAAATTGGAGTTGGGTACAACACAGGGATCTGCTAATTACATAAATAAGGCCATATAACTAACATAAAAATTATATAATAATAATAATGGTACAATAATAAAAGATTAAATGCATACGCATACATAAATCATATTTTTCTCCACCATTTACTATGCAGACTCATTTCTTCAAAATTGTAGAAATTCTGCAATAAGGAGACAGACCTTTTCAAGTCCATTGTTTCTTTTAAGAACGTATTCTACCAGGTTTTCTGCCAGTACCTTTTTATACACTTGAGGACAGCCCTGGTTTTTAGAGTCCTAACAGATGTGAAGTCTCCAAATCAAAGTTGCAATTTCATGTTATTTGAAGTTGGTATAGATAGAGAGGAAAATGTAGATAAAAGTTTATTTTATTATTTGTGTATGAGATAATGATCTGTGGAAAACCTCAAATGTAATTGGCACCACCTTCTGTTTATCATATAACAATTTATTTTGTCACTAGACTAATTGATTTTAATATTTATGCAATTAAGTTATTTTATTAGCCTCAAGGAAGTAAAGGAATTGTTTGATAAGATATTCATTAATTAAAATACAATAATAAAAAAAGTTGAAGACTGCGTGATGTGCATTGTCAGCATTTATTTAAAGGTGTCGAAGAAACATTTGGGTCAGAGGAAGATTAAAAAAATTTGTCTCAAATCATGTAACTTCAATTTATCATACTCTTATTTCTGTTAATTTCATGACAGTAATTATGTAGGTTTTCTTTCTTAACTTTCTGGATCAAACCTTCACTAAAACTGCTTGTATTAACATGCTTTCAAATGCTTGGAAAATATTTATCTGCAACAGTCTGGTCTACACCACTTCAAAATGTGATAAAGTTTAATCTATCCCTGGAATGTACTGTCAACTGAAAGTCATCATTATATATGCTTTGCATCTTATGATTCTTGACACTTTTTTAAGGGACAAAAAATATATTATTTGATATAAATATATATAAAATCAATCTGGTAAGTTCTTTGAAAACCTTCAACTTAGTATTTTTGAGGCTGTCTTTGAAAAAAAAAAATTTTTTTTGAGTTCCAAATTTCTATAATTTTGGAAGAAAGTTGTAGAAAGTATTTGATGCATTTAAAGGGGAGGTTGTTTTAAACACTATTTGCACATGATGTCAATAGTGATTTTTGATCAGTCTTGTTATAACAGTGGCACAAGGTTCTTGTTAAACTACATGTTATCACTTTTCTGGAATAATGTTCAAATTCAAATAAAGTGGAAAGTTAATTTTTCAGGTGAATCAGTAAAAGAGAAAAAAGATGAATGTGAATTGCATTATCAACTCTTAAATTATACCAATTGCTGTGTGGTGACAGATCAATTGCTATTTCATGAAAGGAGAATATTTCATGGAATAATGTTGCCCATAAATGCAGTATCTTAGAAAATCCATTTTAATAAATTACAAAGCCAAGAGACATAATTTTTTTTAACTTGCAAGGTGGTATTACTTATTATCTTAGAATGGGAAGCAAATGAAGTTGTGAAAAAATTAAATTTTGCTCTCTTGTAAAAAAAATAAACTGTTTTTTGTGTTAAAACCATATTTCAGAAAAGTGTCAATATGAGAGAGAATCTTGGGAAGTGTCATTTTTTTTTTTTTTTTTCATTCCCTTATTTCATTCCCTTCTCTTCCTTCAATGTACTCCTCATTTCTATTCACAGTTTTGCTGATTATATTTTTGATATATATTTCAAATGCAGTCACACAGTAAACTACATACACTGCATAAAAATTATCTGAAAACCGAAACTCTGAATGATTGTTTTCTTATATTAAATTCAGGATACAATTTTCTCTATTAATTCAGGAATGACAGTATTGATACATTCTTATATTTATTGCAGATCTCATTGTCTTACTAATTTTTTGTTTGCTTTTAACGTGTCTTGCACTTTCGGTTACTTTTTTACTATTTTACTATTTTTTCTTTCCTCTGGATGAATTAAATTTATGTGATAAATACATTATTGGATGAAAAATAGTTTGACAAGTTAGAAAAAAATAGCATGGTATTAATACCCTTGGCAGAAGGGGATTCCCTAGCGTGAACATATTTTTCTTACAGACAAAGATTTTACTAAAACTTAGAGGCATGAAAAGCAGGTCACATATCTTAAGTTTAAAAAATTATGTTGATTACTTCCCAACCTGTCATGTAGCTGTGTATTGCTTGCATAGTAGACAACTACTTGCAGCAAATGATGACTTGAAACAAAGGAAATATTTATTTGGGGGGAGTCTCTTTGTGCAAGTTTTCGTAGCATTTTTCTAAATTGCCGACCTATATTTGTGATACTAGTATTAAAAATTAGGGCAAGTCAAAGATGGCAAGGTGATTTGCTTTTTATTATTTTATTTTATTTTTCTCCTATGAATGAGTGAAAAAAGGAATAAGTGAAGTTCCTTAAGTTCCTACTATAAACTTCGGTGGACTATTAATTAAAAATCTGTGGAGAATTTGAAGAGGCAATTGAATTACCTGATAATACATTTTATATATCATTTATTTTTAAAAATGCTTTACCTATCATTTAATATCACCACTTTGTTCAATAGTGTACAAGAAATTGTTTTGAAGTCTGAATTGACAAGAATTCTTTATATTCTCCAAGAAATTGCTTCAGTAAAATAAAATTGTCCTTAACATTAAGAATAGAGGATTTTCTTTGAAAATATTCACTTCTGAATTATGTGAATATTAATTTTAAATTCTAATTTAACCGTTTTTGGCATGGACTGAAGTAAGAATTTTAAGGGGAACAAAACTTCTTAAAATACTCAGAGTCCACTGTAGTTCTTCTGATGCTAGCATTATTGTGGTGTCATTAGAATTAAACTCCTTTATTGTTGTGAATATATGTAGTATCTTCCACACTTATCTTCATTGCAAGAATGATATTTAAATAACATAAGGATACTGATGGTTTGTGCAAAAGAAATTGAACGTGGCAACACAATTGGTTTGACCTTAATTTCTTGCATTGAAGAATAAAGTGTGGATGTCATCAGAGATCATGAAAACTCTTTAGCTCTTTAATGTTATAATGTGTCAAGTATAACAATATTTGTGTTCTGGCTTTGAATTCTTTCCTTATTTACTTTTTACAAGTGTTCTGTTCCTTTATATATGTAATATATGCATTCTAACTAACATATGTATTTTATGGAACAAATGTCATTGTGCTCAATCTTGAAACTAATGAATTAGTGCATGTGAGAAAGTTATCTTTAATGTGCATTTTATTGTAAGGATTACTTGATGGAAAATTCCATTTGAGTTACAATAACAAGAAACACATTTAGAATTGTGTTAAATAATTGAGGATACCATAGAGGGAAAATATTTTGCACTTAAATTTCACAAATTAGTTGTTATAAACAATTACAAATTCTGCTTCATACCAAAGAATTTGTTTGATAAACAGTAATAGTATGTATTGAAAAAAGGGTTTTTCTTCCATAGAACAATGAAAAAATGAAATGTAAAATAACTTTAATGACAAAGAGAATCTGTGAAATATGACTTCAGAGGGGGAATGTGATTATAAAAAAAAAAATTTGAATGATGGATAAGAAATTACCTTTAAATTGTTTGTATTAAAAATTATGCAAATATGCTTAATTTTACTTCGTCATTGTTATTTTATTATCATAACTAAAGTCTGTAGAAACATGTTCACTGATGTAAACATTCCCTTTCATTCAGGAATATGACTTAACAATGACACACCAAAAATACCATAATTCTTGTTATATGTTTCGTTTACTAGTGTGTCCTTCTGTAGATATCATTGGTGGCTCATGTCAATTTTGTAAGAGGAGAAAAAAAGTCAGTTACATTTACTGCTTTGAATGAAGCATACAATAAATTAAATTACATGTTACATTACAAATTACGTAACATCATTTGCAAAGGGATAAGAGAGCTTATGAGTTCAGTTTGCTCCTTCACCTGGACTTCTGTCAGGCCATGGCCCATTATACTGTGTGACCTCTACCCGTGTCATGGGCACAGTATGACATGACGCGTGTGTCAAAAGGACCAGTGACAAGTTCTTATAGTTGAAAGAGACTTCTCAGTTTAAGAGAGGAGCTGCTCCTCACAGACTTACAGGCTCCATTAAAAAATGGTTTCCCTTCGGGAGTGCTCACTCTTCTGAGTGATTACTACACGAGAGGAGGAAATACTGAGAGTTCTTCCTCAAAGCAATTTTGCATCATTTTTGCATTGCTTAAAAGCACACAGTTTAAAACTTGATTAAAGCCATTTCATAATAGCTATGAACTCAAATATACATTTTTGCCTCACACACAAAAACAAATATTTTGCAATAATTACATTCAAAAGATGAAAATATGTGGAAAAATTTCCTCCCTCATTTCCCCTGAGAAACTTTCTCTTGAGATATACTTCTATCTAAAGATAGTGAAATGACTATGAACAGCTCTGATAAAGAACTAATTTTGACTTTCAATGGGTTGGGGTACATATAAATATGATGGCTGAACATTTATAATTTGTGTATTATAATAAAATACTATTAGATATACCCAGTACTTGCCTCACTTCTTGTAAAGTGCGTACAGTACTTCACAAAACACTGTTAAGTGTCCAGATTAAATATTTGCGCTGATACCATGAAAGACTGGTGAATTAGAGTTCGGAGGGTCATGGAAATTTAACTATTCAATAATCATGCTGACACATTCCCAAAGTCTGAGAGCCAATTTTTCATTTTATCTTTCATTAACTTTAAAGGTTGTCTGCGAGAAAAAATAAAATTAATTAAACATCGATTTGCCAATGAGTACACACAATTCAATTAGAAAGGGAAGGACTATCAATAGAGATTTGCCTCAAGTTTGGTCAGATGCTAAAGCTTCAAGTTTTTTTCAAAAATGTATTTAAATTTCTATAATGTTAAACTAATTTTATACCCATTTCTTATGATATGTGAGACCAAGTTAAGTTCAAGAAGTGTAGGTCTAAGGAATCAGGTCACTGATAAGTGATTTCTCACTAACTACTAAACTTCCCATAAGATCAGAATCAACTTGAGGAAAACGTAATGTGAAGGAGCATTAGAAGAAATTTTCATTCGTGAGGTTATTATGCACTCAGTGCAGAGTATTTGTTTTCCTTCCCTCGGAAAGTTGTGCAATTTCTTTTAAAATGAAAGTTTGTATAAAATAAATCCTGTTTACAAGATTTTTCAAACCTGTTTCCGATTTATCATTGGAAAGAAAAAATATTTGTAGTCAGTTAATCTATGTAAATCATTATTTGTCATTAATCTTGGTAATGGAAGTGATTGGATCTTAAATCAAAGCTAGGAGAGATAATTGTTACAATTGATTACAGTTAATTTATATAACATTTATAGTTTACATATGTTGATATATGATTTTGGTTTACCTAAACAGCAATTTCATGAAAGTGACACAAGACATGTTTGAGAACACTTATTGTACTGAAAATTCTGCATTCAGTTTGATCTTCCATATTAACTTTGCTGAGC